AAGTACATGTTAGTCGAATCGCATCAGATGGCAAGGACCATTCAGCTGAAGATATCTTACCAGATGGACCTCTGACAGCAGTTTCATATTCGGCATATTCTGAAGGGAAGATTATTGTAGCTGGTGGTTTTGAATCAATCCTAGCAATATAGTCCATCCCAAGATGTCCAGACTTCCCTTTGGATGTAAACCATGTGAATTTTAGATACTATCGAAAGCGTCAAATCCAACTTTGACATGTCAAGTCAAGACTCACATTCACTGGTCTGTTTATCATCTGAATGGACGATTTCTGGATATCTCATGCTCTTGTATGATTCTTCATTGTCTAAGACGTCGACACGAGGACCACCATTGTCCAAGACGTCGAGACGAGAACCACCATAAGAAGGAACAGATGAGAATTTTTCTTTTGGCGAAGACTTTTCAACGACGACTTCAGGCTTTTCAATGACCTTGCCCAAAGGCTTTTCAATTGGTTTTGCCATAGGAGCACGTAGAGTCATTCCATCTGCATAGTATTCAGCTTGCTTGTATGCATCTGAAACAGAGAAAGCTGCCAATACGACGACAAGGATCTATAAAGGATATTGACGTGTATTAGCGTAAGGCCATGTGGTCCTTTGATGTAGACGATTATCGCTTCAATCATCCCATACCTTCGATAACATAGTGCTTCACATATTCGACTGTTCGATTTGCTTTGCTGTCATGAAGAGTTGGAAGGTGATTCATCAATTGATACCGTCGGATCAAAAGAGAAATTTTCGCGCAGGCTTGAGTTTGACTTTGACAGCATGTCAATCTCAAACTTGAGGTGATAGAGGTCAGACTTTTCGACCGATATCTTCTTCACTTAAGTACTCATCGATAGTCCGTTTCATCCTTTTTGTCTTGCAAATTTGCATCCTTGAAGCTCAATACGATTAGATCTACGTTCACCTCGTCAGGATCAGAAAATGATGTTTGGCCTGAATTTAGATTCGAAATGTGTAGAGGCTCGAGCGTGAAGATCCTGCAAATTGTAGCATGAGAATAGCAGATGGTAGCTCTTGACCTTGACTTGGATCTTTAAAAGAGCAGGTTAGACAAAATTAGCACTTTCGGAAGATGTTGGACAAGGAGCAAACAGTTTCGAGAGAGAGCGAAATTGCTAATTATGACACGTTTCATCAGGAGGGGAGTCTCAAACTACGCGAATCTAGTGTGCCTATTCAAAGAACTGGTGCTAAGCTTGGATAATGTGGATGTGCAGCACACAATAAAGGATAGCCTTGTACCAGATTGTTGCTGGTTGATTGCGATTGTTTGATTCCCTTAGCATCTTAGCGTTCTTCCACCTAGACTACTTGCTTGCACCTTCGCAAAAGTAATAAAATACTGCAACAGTGAAAAGACGGCTGGTCATCAAGATAGGAAAGGGAGACTCTGCACCTCTTTAGGCAGTCACGGTATGTTACGATTCCCACCTTCAATCTTCTTCCTTGTGCTTGCATCCACCTAGTAATCCAACATTTTCGAACACACCTAATCATGACATTGATTTCTTGTAGATCTGGCAATGGATCCGGAGGCCTCGTTGTCCACTTTACCTCATGAACTATTGATTGAAATCATGAGGCTTCCTGGTCGCTTGGCTGTCTCTCGTCTCGCCCTATGCAGCAAACATCTGAATGTAATCGCTTGTGAACTGCTATACGAATCTGCCTTCGATCCAAAGTATAGTTTGAAGAGGCAAATCATCTGTATAGAAGCTATATTGAAAGATATTCCACCATCGGATGTGCCTAATGCCAACGACGATAACGATGACGAACAACAAGCTGCATCGATGATACCATATCGACAATCTGCCCTAACTAGTATCAAGAAACTCGATCTGGCAAGGTTCTCCAAACTCACCGAACTCCACAGCGTACCGCCAACACCTGAAGATAATCCCAATACCGCTTATATAAAAGGCATCTTGTTGGAACTACATCAGAAGGATATATGTGTCATAGCCGTATGTGCTGCACTTCTAGCTGCTGTACCACGTCTTGAATCCTGTATCATTGCAAGTGCCTGGATGCAGCTTCTACCAGATAGAATCAAGCATCTTGATGTATATGTAAAGGGTCAGCAGGACGCAGAAGCATGGACTTCATTTGCCGCCAACCACAAAGCCCTGGAATCTCTGAAAATCCATCACAGCAATCGAACCGATAATATATGGGAGGTCGTAGCAACTGGTATACACACAATGAAGCTCAAGTCGCTCTGGATTGAAGGTGCTCTAGGTGATAATTCTGTTGAACTAGCAACATCAATCGCAACAGGGGCAAGCAGGATCACATTGAAGGCCATCCGTATCTCGAACTGGCGTATTATAGATGTAAAAATGATTGAGAACTTGGAGCACTTGGAAGACTTGTCAGTCATGAACGTCCAAATGGCTCTTCCAAGCAGCCCAACAGCAGTCAATGGCCTCAAGGCACTATGTCTCGACTTTGTTATGAATGGAATGGATTGGAATCTACCGTCTATAATCAAACAGAATGCCAGAACGTTAGAATCTGTTCATATTGGACGTCTACAACGACTACCTCGTGTCTACACGGCCGAAAACTACTTATTTTTTAGAAAACTTGTATTCGAATGTGGAATGCCAAACCTCAAGGAACTCGTATTCCTGCATCCACGACCAGCACAATCCGGAATGGTCGATTGGCTCAAACTATACGGGCGCCAGCTACGGAAGTTGGGAGTGACTAGTCTCGGAGGTCTATCAATCTTTATACCCGATATTGCCAAGTATTGCCCGAATCTCGTAAACCTCCTCATTGAACTACATCAACACACAATCGAAGCATCGATTTCGACGCACCAGAATTTATTCCGTGCCATGACCGACTTGCCAAGTATCCACCGTATTCAATTGTATACTCATGAAGTCCCTGCCTCGAAATTGAGCAGTGACTGCATCATCCAGGCATCTATAGAACGAGAAAAACGAGGGATGGGCATGTTGGAACTCATCGGATGGAGTCGAGAGGGGTCTGAAGACATTCAATTGGTCGTCGCGGTCTCTCCATACTCTCCTTTGGCTGCTGGCCTTTGTACTCGAATGTGCAATAGCCATGCTCTAAGCCTCGCCCGCCGTCTTGAACAGCTGAAATGTGTCAGCCTCAAGCTCAAGCGCCACGAAGCCTTTTGTATGAGTTGTATGCATGATATATGGCCTATACACTACGGACCTGTTCCACCAGCACCGCCGCTACCCAAACTAGACGACTTTCGAAGCAACAAACAAGTCGTAAAAGTAAAACCCGTCAGCCCTGTAAAACGCTTTTTTGGTAGATTATTTGGAAGAGGTGCCTCACCCAAGCACTAGAAATAGAGCTGTAAACAACCAAGGGAAAGAGGGGTACTCCACTTACGGCAACGTGGTGTTATTTATAGCTTTCAATAATATAACTTTTTTCCAACATCCTACATCTTATTCAACTACTGTGATGGAAGCGTGTTTGCACCCATCTCCAGTGGCTTCAAGATCGGCTCGGTGTTGATTAAAGAGAACTCACGATTATGTTCTCCATTCTCACGGAAGAATACGCCAAGTCAAACATAATATACAAGCATAACACCTGAGCCCAAGTCCAGGCATGCGCACAGCAAGACACTCCGCACCAATACGTATTGGGTCTAGCGGGGGTTTATCGTACACTTATTGCCCTTCCTACCGTCCTGATTCAAATGTTTCAAATGTCAGTGTACCGGTCAAGATACCTGAATAGTGTGCATACCAGCCAGATTAGACAAAATCATTGCAACAGCAACATTGACATCTCCATCCGAGTCATCAAACATTCATTGCAGAATGTCATCTGGCACTGCAGTCCAAAGCCCATTTCACGCACGTAGCAAATCCATTTACGGTTGCAACTCAATGTGCGCAAGCTTCAGGAAGCTGAATTCGAGCAAGTTGAATACGATCATTCTCTTTACTTTTCAAACTTGTGCTGAGTGGACTTCTTCAAGCTTTTTGACTTGCACACTTGAGACAATGAACTGAACAGAATCGATCGCTGATAAGAATGGCGGAATTAACGTGGCAGCAATCAATTTCTCGCCGAATATGAAGGGAACTACGTCGACTCGATACGCGTTCGACATCATGACGAAACTTCAATTTTCCAACAGAGCAACGCAATTATCAACCAAACGATTGCATCTAGCTATTGCAGCACCAACAAACGATTCGACACATTTTAACTTTCGCTCCAATGAGTATGACTGTCCGTTCAAAGAATCATTTATCAAATGAAATTCTATGTGAAGGATTTCGCCTCATATACAGCCGGGATCAATTCATTCTGATTAAATAATCAAGCACCTATCTGTTACACACAATACGTCTATTCGTCCAAACCATCAAACCTCAAAAATTTTGAGATTTAAATAAAAAAACAGATGGGAGTTAGCTGGTCGAACGGCAGCACCTTGTCTCACTCCTCAGACCGCCACCTTGGAACTGAATCACATTGTCACTGCTCCCTGCTGGGTTTCCCCCCTTGGGCTATGCGCAACTGCTTAGGACTCCAGGTACCTCCCCTACAGGAAGTAACTGTAGTCTTGCCATTCTTTCCAAGACGATCATTCAGCAGAGACAACACAAGGGCTGTGATTCCGCTAGAGTCAGCCTCCATCATCTCCCGACCAAGCAGTTTACAGGTCTTTCTTAAGGACCCCGGTAGAGGGCGAGTAAAAGGGGGGAGTACATACAACAACTACGGGATCACTGCGATGGAAGAAAAGTGGCTGGAAATTCCGTTTCTGTTGATTATTCTCGACACTCGTGCATTTTAAGAGTACAAATAGATTCATTAACCTGGTCAAAATAATAATTCTACCAGAAAATGCTCCTGGTGCGTCTAGCTGCTCATCGTGCAATTCACAAGTCTTAACAAACTCCTTATTTTCGTGTCTGCCAACAAACAGACTTTACCTAGTGATCAGTCATGAAGGCAACCCTAAAGGTCTCAGGTAAATAAAGACTTTGCTCTGTGTTCTTGTACTCAAAGAAACACGGCAACAACAAGCTTTCAACTAATCAACGGAATTATTGTGTTTTAAGTGATCGAAGGACGAGACTTGGCTGCAAAGGATCGCACTGGAACGTCTGATCCTTTCGTGTCTATACGGTACTTTATCAATAAGCCTAATTCCATTCACCGTAAAGGCTCTTGACATTGACCCTTGCCCAACATCTAGTCTGGTGGACCAAACCTACAAGACGCCAACCGTACACAAGTCTCTGAATCCTGTATGGGGATCAGATTACACATTTACACTCACGGAGGCCCATAGAAATGCATCATTGGTTTTTACTGTCTTTGATAAGGACCTTACCGGCAAAGACTTTCTTGGGATGGTGCAAGTCCCATTGAGTAGGCACACTCATCAATATTTTGTGGCCGAGAGTATACTAACACTCTTCATTCCTATTAGGCGATTTGGTGCTTCCTAATGTAGTGTTGTATGATAGCCCTGACACTGGTGTTTGGTATAAGCTCTGTCCAAGAAATCCGAAGGACAGCGTAAAGGGTGATTTGAACTTGAAGATCGGATTTGCTGGTAAGCAGAACAGTGTAAACTTGCGTTGGCGCTTTAACTAATTTGAAGCTTGTAGGACCTGTTGATCCTGAGCTGATTGCTCATTTACGGGGCAACATTCAAAACACTTCTGCCAATCTTATTGCCACCGACGAACCAACTGATGAAGCACCCGATAATGTGGAGAACATAAAGTCAAGTCTTGCAAGTATGGATCTTGTAGATATGAATCACAATGAGCTGGCTGGTTTGCTAAGAGTCGACAGTAAGCAATCGCTGCAAATCTGGAGTCCTTCTGCTTCTAGTTTTGAAGTATTTAGCAGCAGAAACGATTTTACAGCTAATCGTAATCAAATTTTCAAACAATAGTTGTCAGTGCCAAGGATCTCGTAGCCAAGAGTTGTTTCCCGTTCTGTACATTAGCTTTTGGAAAGAAGGCTTTCAGAACTCGAGTATTACGCCAAACTTTGAACCCTGAATGGAACGAACGAGCCTTTATGTATGTAAAAATCCCATGTTCCTTTGTGTTTCGTGTCCCGTATGCGTTTTTGTAAGACCGATCGGTCTAACCTCGCTCTTGACTTCTCCTAGTCACTTGAAGAAGCATGAGATCGAGTCGAATTGGATTCTTCAATGCAACATTCACAATAATCATAGTCTTCCAACGGCCGATAACGAAGTATTGGGTACAGCACAAGTATCGATTCGTGACATTATCGACAAGGCCGAGAAACTTGGTGTGAAAAGAGCAGCAAATCAACCAACATATTTTGAACCTGTCGAATTCGTTCTGCCTTTAAAGGCCCGAGCAGATGACGATGGAAGTGCGACGTTGCTGCTCCGGTTCAGTTATGCTTCATATGAAGGTAAACGACGCGCTGACGACATTGTGCCATCAGCATGTTAAATTCAACGGTTTTTTTTCTCCCCCTGCTGTTACAATGCAGATATCAGACGAAATTTCTGGATAAATCTCGCCACCGTATATGATTCAAACGGCGATCAACGATTGAATCATACCGAAATCACAACCATGTTTGATTCTCTACGGTCCAGTTTGGGTGGAGAAAGCATCCAATTAGCTTTCTTTGGATCAATCAATGATGAAAGTGTCTCATTTGATGAGTTTGCTCGTAATGCAGAGAAGAAACTCAAAGCCACCTCAGATATCAAGAATAGCGGTAAAGAGATGATGGTGGTGCTGGATAAGTGTATTATATGTGGCAAGAGTTTGGATAAGAGCTCGGAAATGGACGTCATTACACATGTAGCATTGTGTGGCTTCGAAGACCCGGGCAAAGTTGACAGATTCTTGTTAGTGAGTGAAACGTTACATACAAAACAGATGCTACTTTGGCTCTTCGATCTTACCTTTGACTCTTCCGTTATAGGGCAATTTTTTAACAGAATCCAATGCCAGCAGAAAATGGTACACGAAGATATTAGAGACTGTGGGATTCGGAGGTTACCAAAGTGGAAGTGAAACCAGCGCCAATATCCTAGTCCAGAATCGTGCTACTGGCCAGCTCGAGGAAGAGAAGATGCCTGTATACATCAGAATGGGTATCCGATTGCTGTATCAAGATAGAGCCGGCCGAACAGGTACAAGTTGCATTATTATGAAGCTTTATGCTGGTGTGAGCTGACCTTTTCCCTTAGGAGTGCAATCCAAAAACATCAAGGCTCTGTTCAAGAGGTTATCTTTGCAACAGGGAAAAAAGTTTGACGACCCAGCATCTACCAAAGAAATAGCGCCATTTGTCGCATTCCACAATCTGGACGTTAATGAAATTCTTGATCCTCTTGATTCATTCAAGACATTCAACGAATTCTTTTCAAGGAAGCTGAAGAAGGAATGTAGAACTTTGGCGTCTTCAGACCCAAAAGTTGCAGTCTCTGGTTGTGACTGTCGAGTTGCAGCCTTCCAAACTGTTGCTGACGCTCAAAAACTATGGTACGGTGGTTCATGTCGATCTGGTTATCTAGCGACGTTGTGTTTAGCCAAGTTTCCGGATAATTAGGATCAAGGGACGCAACTTCACTATAAAGTCACTTCTCGGTCCTGGCGCTCCTTCTGGATTTGATGACGCTTCAGTTCTCATATTCAGACTCAGCCCGCAAGACTATCATAGATTCCATTCGCCAGTAGATGGCAAAGTCACGTATATATCACCAAACTTGGGTGAAACATATTTTACAGTGAATCCCATGGCCATTAGGTCTTCAATTGATGTATATACCGAAAACGTAAGGCGAGTTATTTATATCGAAAGTCCTGACTTTGGCCTGGTGGCTGTTGTGAATGTTGGAGGTGAAAACTGTCCTTTCTTTTGGCATTTCTTCAACTTGTATCAACTTATTCCGCTTTAATATGTAGCCATGCTAGTAGGCAGTGTCATTATCACTGCAACAGTCGGAGCGACGATTTCGAGGATGGATGAACTTGGGTACTACCAATTTGGAGGCAGCACAACAATCGTGCTCTTCCAAAAGGATCGAATATTGATAGACAAGGATTTGGTAGGAAACTCTGACGAAGGACTAGAAACGCTAGTTCGAATGGGCAACAGGATCGGAATAAGCAAATAAAGCAATGTTTTTCTATGATTTGAGTCCGGTTGTATATAGTACTTGTTTTACGTAAACAAAGGCAAACAGGTATAGCACTTTCTGTTCAATTAATCGGTTGCGGACTCCAGAGATGCGACCAGTTTGATCATGTCGGTTAGTGATATGACGGTTTTAGGTCTGTGACTTTCGGTTACCCATACTCTATGCGCTGAAGAGCGAAAAAAAAGCGAGATTTAATGGATAGACACGTTGAGCAGCCCAGATTTTCACTCACTTTTAGTGGCAATTACTTTACTCATCGCATAACCAAGTGTGGTTGATTCTGTGATATCGAAAACGGGAGCACTGTCTCTACCGTCCTGTATTCCTGACTGCTGGTCCACTTGACCTCTAAAGTGCATTACAGAGTCATACAAGAATTGAGGTGATGGAGATTGAATAGCCCACTACAAGCAAAAAAGCGACAGTTTGTTGAGAGTGTGGTTGAATTTCTTTTGAGGTCGACGGCTTACTTTGACATCAGCCAATGACAAATTAGATAGTAAAACACCGGTCTTGTCGACTATACCCAATGACGATACAGACAATTTGACTGACAGTGAAAAACAATAGTAATTAGCTAGTAGTCCGTGGGAATGTCTTCTCCAAAAGCTTACCCATCATCTTGAGAGCATCAATTACAGGAACTTCTGACCCTACAGTGAGGACATTTTGTGTTCCGAGACCCAGCTCTTTGACGGTACTTGTAATCAGTTTGGTCAATTCAGGATAAAATTTACTATGGGAGAATATCCATCGAATGACGGTTGACTGAGACACAATCCCGACTCTGTCACCGCCCTGTACTACAGCTCTATGCACTCCTCTTCCAAACAACTCGAGTACGTCTTTTAGTGGTGCATCAGGCGAGAAGGTGTATAATGGTTTTTCTCGTCGTTGGTCTAGCGATTCTACGCTGACTATGCTGGTCCGTGGGTCGGCTGATGATATTGAGGACGACGAAGGGGATAGGGAGAGATGGGCAGCAGATTGTCTACTCCGTCGTAATAGTTCAGAGACAGTTATGTTCTTTTCAGGCTTTGTGACAGCTTCTAGTTCCGATAGCATGAATTGCAGCACGTCGCCGTAATCCAATATGCCGACGAGGTTTGAGGTTTTGTCCTCGTAAATGGGTATCGAGGAAATATTAGACGAGACAAGCAACTAGGGGGTGGATTTTAAGGTTGAAGTTTGGGAGGGTGTGAGTGAGATGAGAGCTTCGACACAAGATATATATAAAATGCTTGGAAATTTGAGGGAATAAAAAATTCACGTCTGCACCCAATATCGTCCATTATCACGACGAGAATTTGGGACCTCCACACACATCATTGCATTTTCACCAAAATGTTGCGAATTGAAAAATCAAAGTTGATACTAACATTAAAGGCCACCTCGGCGCGGTCCTGAGCGTCGACAGTCACGACTTCTCGTTTCTCCATCACTTCCTTTACTGGTATATACCTCCAATCTCCATGGGATATTTCATCTGTCGGCGTCGAAGCTGGAAAAACGCTATGAGAAGAGGAGACATTTCCATCACTGCTATGACGGCTGAGCGAGAGGTGCGGTGACCCGACCGAATGTACCTCAACTTCGTCTATCTCAGACAATGACATTTTCGTGTGTTTGGTTGATTCGAGGAAAGCGTGGTCAAAATACTACGGAGGTGATCACGTCGAGCTAAATGTTAAAGGTTATTTTTCTAGATTTTTATCAATGTAACTCTTTGGTGGGGAAGGCGTCAAGTTGCCAGGGCTGATTCAGTTGTTGGGTCCTGATTTTCCTTCCAAAAGTTCAGCTTCAAGCACACCTCCATCTCCGGTTCCAAAGCAAACCGAAATGGTCCCCGACACCTCGTACGTATAATTTGACACGTCTTGCTGCTTGAAATTCACACTTTTCTATGTAGGGCACGAGGAACTGTCTCTGTGCGTCGGAAATCGTTTTTGCGTGCTCCGACCTTCAAAGTCGATATAAAGGAATCGAAATATGGGTTTGAAGCGTTGCCGATGCTACCTGTTATCCCAAAACTATCGGACATGGTATTTCACACGCTATCCGGTTTGAACTCTTGTTCACATTTTTGCGTCTGACATTGAATCATGAATCTAGGACCTCTTTTCACCGGCAACCAAATCCAGAACGCCTTCGACACATAGTCCTATTCGAACACTATTTGAACAGCAGCAACGTGGAAATGCAAGTGAAGCCAACTTGACCGAAAGCAGCTTGCCTGAAACACCTCTTTCCGGAACACCACTGTCAGCCAATTCGTTCAATGGAAGCTTACCGGATTTTATTGGCCATGGAAGTCGTACTGGTAGTAGTAGTATGCCTGCACGTGTAACTCGTTCAAGAGCGCCGACCGGGTCAAGTCAGAATTCGATGAGACCATCTGCGTCAATCTTAGCACTAGCATTGAGTAGTACTGCCGAGTCACGAGACTCTGTGGCCTCTTCCAGCGTGAGCGACCGGTCTTCTTGTCAGGATGATCAAGAAGATTTGTTTTTACAACAAAAGGCTCGACAGTACGTACCCGCCTTGTACCGGTTGCTCTGAAACATGAATTGACCTTGTTGTTTTAAATAGTCGTGATTCCTCAATGAGCTCGCTTTCAATGTCTGGCACGATACTACGTCGCCTGCAACTTTCTACCTCTCGGCCGACATCAGAGGCGGATTCACAATTCCTGAATTCATTAAACCAACTTTCACCTGCAGAAACATCACCCGTCTCACCACCTCCCGCATCTCCGGACTCCAAAAAGGTACTAGTTCGATTCTCCCTCCCACAATACCAGTGCATCACTAGTGTCTTGCTTCCTCCTGAAGTTTCAATGGAAGCAGCACTACGTGTAGTATGCCAAAAAAAGAGCTTGGACTTTGCGTCCCATGCTTTACAAGTCACTCTACCTTCCGGAGTTGTTTCTGCCGATATGGACCGAACTGTGGGTTTGTATATGTTTGACTGGAAAGCTACTGAGTGGTCTGTCGTGAAAACGGAGAAGTTGTATTCGACAATGTATGTGAAGGGTGATGACGATGAAGAAGTCATGATCCTGCAGCAAAGTAATGGACGATATCAAGTTATGGCTGGCAAGGTCAATAACCTGATATCGAGATTAACCGATGGAGAAGAACCAGGTAGGAGAATTCTTTTCAGTCAGAAGCATTCTAAGAGCCGAAAGAACACGTTTACCACTTGGATTATGAAATACTTACATCTCTTCGTTTAGACGATGCGTACCTCGACATATTTTTCCTAACATACCGAAGCTTCTTGAAGCCTATCGAACTGCTGGACGGTTTGATAGCAAGATTCAATTCAGAGATCGCGCCTAATGCCAGTCCCGAAGACATCGAGTGAGTACAGTTGTCACAATTGCATTTTCTTTTGCACATCGAGTGCCAGTATTGACTTTTGATGACCCTAGATACTTTAATCGAGCGATTGAACCAACACAAAAACGAGTCGCTTGGGCCATACAGAATTGGGTCAACAAATTCTACCAAGATTTCATCGAGGACTCTGCTCTAGAAGCAGACATTCTTGATTTCGCTACTCAGCTCAAGGAGTTTTCTCAGTTTAAAGACATTGGAGCGGAGTTGATTGCGTCTCTCGAACGACAGGTAACGCAGTTCTTCTATCTATATAGACCACACATTTTTTGCTCATCGAACTCCTCTTTATTCTCATAGAAAAAAGTCGCAGAGGAAGAAGAGGAAGCAAGTGCCCGAGTCGTCACCAAATCCAAACAAATTGACAGTTCCATTTTCTTGACTGTCAACCCGCAACACATTGCAAGGCAATTGTGTGTGCATAACCTTGACCTCTTCCGAAAAATCCACCAAACTGAATTCCTCAACCAAATTTGGAGCCATGACGCCAACAGTGCGAACCTGAAGGCGTTTATTGAGAGGTTTGACAAGGAGAGCTACTGGGTCGCTACTGAGATATGTATGACCAAGGATATCAAGAATCGTGGCAGGATATTGAAGAGGTTCATACGGGTTGCTCATGTAAGTAACAATCTTCGTGACGTTCATCCATTTTTGGGTTGATGTGGAACTGAAGCACCTATTGTTTCAATAGGAATGCAAAGAGAGGAATAACTTCTTCTCAGTGTTCTCCATTATTGCTGGTCTGAACCTATCCCCGGTCCAAAGGCTCAAGAAGACGTGGGATGTATGTCTAGAGGTCGGAATGTTTGTCGTAAGGTGAACATCAAAGTTGAATATCGCCTTTATTTCGTTAGAGCCTGTCAAGTGAAACCAAACAGATGTGGACAGAAGTCGAAAAGTTTGCCGACCCATCACGCAACATGAAGAACTATCGAGATCATTTAGCAACATGTAGTGCCCCAATAGTCCCTTTCCTTCGTGAGTGTCGATTTATCGAAGGTGTATGTTTTGCCATTTGTTAACAATAATGTCCTTGTCTTTCAGCAATCTATTTCAAGGATCTGACATTCATCAACGACGGGAACGCCAAAATGGTCAAGAATTTGGTGAATTTCGACAAGTGTCGAATGCTGGCCAAACGCGTTTACGATCTGGCCGATTTGACGGCCACTCCCTTTCCTTACGAGAAAGATCCACCAATTCTTAACTATTTGGCACGGCCTCATATTGAAAAGAGTATTGTCAAGCTCAAGGAATTGTCTTTGGAATGTGAACCAGCCACCAAGTAATCAAGTATTCCAAGTAACTCAAATAATTCAAGTAACCGAGCACCTAACCACTTTACCGACTAATCTCAAGAAATAAATATACGCGTAATTCCTACCTGGCAAAGAGCACGTTCTCTCCCGTCAAACCGTATTTTGGATGGCTTTTTTTAGTGCAACCTTGAAAAAATCAAAACCTCTTCTTCCCAAATACGACAGACAGACCATTATGGCGACCAGACAACCGATAAACAAACTCGATATCTCGAAACCACTACCCTTAATTAGCAGCCATGCATCGGCACACATACTCTCCACATCACCACGATCGCAAACCCGACTGAACGGCGAATTAGTGTCGATGCATTCGCCTGTCCTTGGAGCAGCCCTCGAACCAAACTTCCCAGAATCAGCAAGCATGGTTGGAGAACGTGGAGAATACGACAGAGGAACCATCTCTCGCCATCGACAGGAACAGAGCCTCTTTTCATTGCAAAAATATAAAGATTTCACTCAGAGTCTCACGGTCTGGAGGAAACAGATAGCGGGGATGGCGGCTGCTACTGAGCAGTTTGTTAGGAGTCTGGAAGAGTTTGAGGAGATCGTGCAAGCTGGTATGTTGTTAGTGGTGGGGAAAGTTTGTCAAGACACGCCGCCCCAACGGTTTTTGCCAAACCAGGCGTGCTCGCAGTGGTTTGTAATGGAACAGCGTTACGTTATATCGAGTTTGGTATTGGGTGTCATTGATCTGGCATGGCTAATCTCTCTGACAACTATACTAGATGACATGCCCAGAAACGCAGCAAGTGAGAACTTGTCTTGGTTGATTGATAGCACGCATCTGATATCAAATGCAATGTCTATATGGGTATGTTTGTGGGGTTTTACATGTTGTCTGCCTCTCCATGTTCGCTGAACTTCCTTCTCTATAGTCGGAATCCGTTGAGAAAGATTTTGTGAGTGTTCTCTTGACAACACTTCTCATACGAAGTCGTCGTTTGCAGTAACTCATTCAAACTCGATGAAACGTATATTTAGGAAATGCCACTGATTCGCAACATTAGTGATATAAAAACAAGCTCACAGGTATCAATTATTTGAGGGCAAAGAACAGTTACCTTCACGCAAGCAGAGGAATCTAACATTCTATTCTCCAACTACACGACAGCTCACTCAAACCGAAAACAAGAGACGCATCGATGACATGCTGGTACAGCTACGGCAGGAAGAAGACAATTCAACGAAACTCGCTAAAAAGAAAAGAAGACCTGATATCGTTGCTTTGCAGGAGGTATAACGTCTTACACATACTGTATCGTCATTTCCTGTATTCGTATCTTTGATTGTTTTTAGTCGATGCAAGTCAGAATGTCATTAGCAGATGAAATCAAACGACGATCAGTAGAAAGTGAGTGAAACCGTGAACCAACAACTTGAATCAAGTCTCTGGTTCTTCTTTGAGTATGAATGGAAATTTACATCGAGTTTGTCATAGGCCAGACTATTTCAGATACCTTGAGTCATGGTAGCGTGAGCTTTGTACTGATGCAGTGTATAACGCTGATACGGGCGGAAACAAACCATTATGAACGTGTGATGGAAGGATTTAAAAAAGTAAGACACTCAATCCATCCTTGGGAATTCCGTTTGTTTTTGTGCTAACCTTTTCGTCTCTAGGTTGGAATACCGCAGGAACACGACAACCCACCAACACCACCTGAAGAAAAACCCGAACGATCACGTCTAGATATGAGTTCTGATGTAGACTCGAACTCTGTAACGCCTGCCACGTATTCGTCTGGACCACCAGTACCACTTAAAAGCCACGACAGTAGAGGAGGCAGTAGAGGTAGTTCTGGAGAGAGGACGGATGAAGAGAGTTTTAGAATCGAGACGCTGAGAAGGCAGCTTGCTAAAATAGGCTGATCAAAATAGTAATCCGATTGACTTTTTGTTAGCATATTCCTTGTTATATTCTCAAAAAACTGTGACATATTATTTTGGGGAGGGTGCCCCCTGGTTCTTTTAATACACGTAAATCACAAAATAAACAAACTATCTGTCTACTATGTCTACTATTAAGATCACTCGTCTTCCTCGTCCATCAATTTCGTATCCTGTACTCTCCACATATAAAATGATCCAACAGTGCGATACGGCTGCCATACTTCAGCATGTTGAAACATTTCTTCTGGTGTTGGGAGATAGATTTTTGAGACTTTGCTGTTGCTGCTACTACTAGACTTGGACGTAGTCGTCTTGCCACTAATGCCAAAGTGCATAGCCATTCCTTTACGTACAGCTAAATCGCCAACGGGGAGGACATTCGGGCGTTTCAGGGTAAAGATCTTAAACATGTCGACCGTCCACTACAAGAAAAGGTTGAAAAAGTGCGAAAAAGGTCCTGGTCAAAACCAATAATCGGACATGTACCTGTCCAATGCCTCTCACAGATGTCAACATCTCATCAATCTCCGCATCAGTAGCACCATCCAACTTGGCATCCGAGATACTACCATCTGCAAATCGACTAGCGAGTTCTACCAAGTACTCTCCTTTACGCACACTTAATCCGCCTTCCCGTAGACGTGCAGCAGGCGTATCTTTTACTTGCTGTGCTGTTGGGAAGTTCTCTTCGTCATCATTATCAAAAAAAAGTTTCACGAATTTCCGGTAGATGGATGCAGCTGCTTTGCCAGATAGTTGTTGGTATATAATGGATCTTGCGAGTGCTTTGAAGTAATCTGCAGCGAAATATAGAATGGAAAAGGTTGGCGATTGAGAAACCGCAGGCACTGTGTGGAAACACGCAGTGACTTACTATTTTCAGACCGTGCTTCCCCAGGTACGAGAGGTCTGCAAGGCGTCTTCGCTATCAATGCGGCTAATTTGGGATCCCTCTTTGACAAGAAATCCATTACTTCATCGTATTGGGTCTGTTGGCTGATGTGTTTGTGCGAATGGGGGAACTGAGAGAGATCAGGCGTTGGATCTCGTACGGCGACCTTCTTTGCCTTTGGTTTAGTTGTAATAGTGGTTGTGGTTGTCTTCTTTGTTACTCTACATCAAAGACACAATGTGGTTAGCTAGACTGAACAAAAAGCATGAAGTTCAAATTCTCGCACTTGAATGTCTGGGTAATAGGAGTGGTAACTTCAGCAACAGTAGTTACTTCAGTCTTGATTGTTCTCTTTCGAGGGCTTGATCGCACGGCTGGCATTCTTGCTATTACGACTAATGTCCTTGTAACACGATTCATGCACAAAACATGAAACTACACGACCAACTGGACCAAGTTCTCGACGATCGCACATCATTTAATATTCAGTTCATACAGAAATCAATGAAATCAAGCATAACTACAAGTTCATTTAGTAAATTGGTTGGTGTTGACGCATCTAAGTAAAAGAACTTGTCAGCGAATGAGCTACCACAAGCAAGCTCCACGTGTTTTCTTACCTGATGCATGGATCCTGGCATAGATCCTGGCATACTATCATACGACTGGTCATCCTCAAACTCATTCCTAGTCTGTTGGAACTGCTGCAAATACGAATGGGATGGTTTTGCGGCCCTGACAGGAATTTCACTCTCATCGTTCTCATAACTAGCATGAGTAGGAGCCTGTAACGGTGTTTGGGGATCATGTCGGAAGGACCTCAAAGTTGATCCAGATGGATTTTGAAAGACTGGTACCGGCCTATCGGAAGGTAATTCAGGACTAGGTTCTTGCTGTTGCTGATACATTTGTTGTTGCTGCATGGCAAACATGGTATATGGATCACACATTATTGGCATTCCCATCATTGGTGATTGTGGGTATCCCATATTCATATATGGCATCATTGGCGATTGTGGGTATCCATATGGCATCATTGGTGATGGTGCATTCATGTAAGGCATATATGGCATTTGCATCGGAGCACCATAAGGCATAGGCGATGGTGCAGGAGCAGTTGGAAGTTGCGATGCAGATGATTGCATAGATGATTGTGATGATGTTGATCCTAATGGTTGGAGGCGAGCACTGCGGCTGCTTGTTGCTGGTTTACGACGGGGAGAACGTGATGTACTAGTAGTTGATTCAGGTCGTGTTGGTGTCGGTGCAGACATTGCAGCACGGTGTTGTGGTGCATGTGGTTGTTGCTGTTGCTGATTTAACCACGGTGGGATCATACCAGGTGTTACCGTATAGTAGACATTTGGAACTGGATATCCGGGAGCTCGTGGTAGCGGTCGTAGCTTGTTTGCTGCTTGACGTTGAGCTTTACGAACCCAGCCACGATGTGGTGCTGAGGTTTCTTGTGGAGTCAAAGTGTATGCTGGTTCAGGTGGAGTACGTAAACCACCAATGATTTCATCACCGTATCGTATCTTGGCAGATCCATTCCAGCCTGGACCAATACCTTGATCAATGATTTTGGGTGGGAGTGGCAACATGACTGAGTGTGTTTCGGCGTCTACTTGGAGAATACGACGAGGAGTACGAATGGGTGGTACTGATGCAGTCGAGAAACGTCCAGATGTAGCTGAAGATGGAGTTGCCGGTACAGAGTCTCGTGGTTGCATATGATGCTGTTCATGCTCATGCTCGTGTTCATGATGGTGCTGTACTGGCTGCTTAGGTTGTTGAGGTAAAGTAGGCAACTGGTGCATCTGTTGCTTTTGCTGCTTCGGTTGTTGTTGTCGTTCTTGAGCAGACGGCAGAGGGAAGATGGGCTTCACGCTCGGTTGTTGACGAGGAGTAGACAATGGCAATTTGGATACCTGATGACGAGAAGGGATAGGTAATGGTCCAACATCATCTTCATCTTCTTCCTCGGTACCAGCAGTCTGTGCTCGCTTAACATGTTGCTGTTGAAGTTGACGTTCACGTTCCAGCATGCGTTTAGCTTCTTCAGCTTTGCGAGCTTCCTCTGCAGCAGCTTGTTGTTGTTGACGAGATTCTTCTGCAAGACGACGACCCTCAGCTTTACGAGATTCATCAGCAGCACGTTTAGCTTCTAGAGCTTCAGCTCGTTTGGTTTCTTCTTCGTCCAATTGTTTAGATTGTTCGGCACGTCGAGCTTCCAATCTAGCAGTTTCTTGACGAAGCTTCTGACGACGAAGGTCTTCAAGGCGTTCATCTTCTTCAGCTTGTAAACGTTCTGCACGAGCATCCTCATCTTCATCGTCGTTATCATTGTTGTCGTCCTCTTGACGAACAGCAGCTGACTCCTCAACCAGTTTGTTACGAGATCCAGAGCGAGAGAGTGAAACACCAGTAACAGTCAAGTCTAGATCCTTGTTGCTGTAGTTACCGACTAGTTGGTTTTGAGATCCAGTTCGACTGTTTAATTGATTTTGCGACCCAGCTCGATTGTTCAATTGATTTTGGGATCCAGCTCGAGAAGTGGTAGCAACAACTTTGGCATTGGACGTTTGACGATCTAATTGGTAGCGAGAGCCAGTTCGAGATGTACTTTCAAGTAAATTGTCACTGGATTGGTTCTTGTTGAGCAGTTGTCGAGAAGGAGTTCGAGACGTAACGGCGGTGGGCTCTCCAAAATCTGGCGAAGAGTGTTGATTGAGTAATGCACGAGAGCCAGCACGATAATCCGGGGTTCCCGATTGATCAATAGCAATAGTCGACTTGTTTCCATTGTTGTCGTCGACATTGTTGATTGATTTTGAGCTTAGAGCTTTAAGACTTAGAGCAGTAGCACTTTTGCCAAGTTGTTCATGGCTCTTTCGTAAATTAGCAAGACTTTTGGTTATTGTTTCTGGTATTACTGGTGGTTCATCAGCTGTGGCGTCATTGTCAGCATATTGACTTTCGTGCTGGGCGATTTGGCGTTCTGCTTCTAGTAGGAAATAGGGGAGTAAAAATTGTAAATAAGCTGTAAATATGTAGAAATTATATTGCAGGATTGAATTACCATCAGAGTCTTCGTTGTCAGCGATGGGATTCATTTCTTCTTCGTATTCAGCATCTTGCTCCTGTTCGACGGATCCAAGGCCGTTCTCATCCGGATTCGCACCTGTAAATTCGTTCTGACCTTCATCGGCCATGATCTGGTCCTCTTCTGATGTCATCTCCTTCTTGTGAGACTTGGTGTTTGTTCTCGAGTGAATGGATCAAGCTAACCCTGACCACAAAAAATAGACGAGGGTTGGACAGACCCGAAATTCCAAGAGACGAACGAGTCACTGAGACATGATCCGACGACGAGATCTATATAATCTATTATACAATTGACGACGCAAACTCTATACAGAAAACGATTGCCCATCTTTCACAAATAATCCGTCAGCAAAGGCACAAGGTCTATATCAGACCTCAGCCTTCTAGCACACCCTTCGACAAGCACAGCTGCTATAGCTAATGCTGCAAAATCACCAGGCATGTGGAGGTGATGCTCTCTCAACAATGCCATAAACTTCTCAAGAATCAGCCCCGTATGGACTTGACTATGATGCATACGATGTCAGCTTCAACCTGGAGCAACACAATGTAATAAAAGTACCTGAGCATGAGCTGTCCCTCATTATCGAGCTTCAGGGACTGAAACAGTCCAGCAACCTTCGTCTTGAAACCCGTTGGATCTTTTACCAGTTGTGGAGACCGACATTTTTCAACCAAGAGACTACCAATTTTCGCCCCATCAAACTCTATTCCGGCAGCAAATACTTCCTTCAAGGTCATCAACGAGTATTCTGACAGATTCGACACAATTCCACAGTCTACAAGAGTCAGGCGAGGTTTGTATCCAGCTTCATATAGTGATGTTAACGAATCACCAGTTGGTCTATTTAAAAATGAGTCAACCAGCTTTGTATCAATGCTTTTAGACGAAAGCGGTGGTGTGAAGGTAATTAAAATATTGGAAGGGTGGAGATCTGCATGTCCAAAATTGTCCTTCAAACACATTTGCTGTGGTAAAGCGAGAACAGTCAGGGCTTGAAGAGATTGGACGCTGTGCCACTTACCAGGAATGCTCGTACTCCCAGCTCTAACAATTCATGATCAAACTCTCCCTTCCCAACACCCAATACTTGTCGAAGATGCACTCCAGGCTCTAAACTCTCCACCAACACATCCTTGGCAATCCAATTCTTACGCACATCGGGGACTCTCAACTGTGTCCAACCCTTCAAATTCCGTTTAAACATCCAATAATTTTCTGCTTCTATACGTAAATCCAGTTGCGATAGTAGCATGTATGCAAACGTCTCCACTTCCTCCGGCAGCGATAATGGCTTCAATTGTGAGAATCGGTCCAGGAATTGAGCAGCACAAGTGATTATATACAGATCGGCCAGTAACGGTTCCAAGATACCAGGATGAAGGACTTTGATTGCTATAGCTTCACCGTCGGCTTTCAAGACACCTTTATACACCTGTCCTATAGCACCTATACCAATTGGGGTTTCGTTGAGATTGATGACTATGTCCATATCGATTCCAAAACTCGATTTGAAGGATTGTTTTGTATGTTGTAAACTATGGGCTGTGACACGAGACTGGAGACGCGATAGCGAATAGCATATATCAGGAGGGAATACATCGTATCGTGATGAGATCCATTGTGCCAACTACAAGAGCAACTATGTAAGTTGGTAGTGGGACAAACTTGCATACATCTCCACCAGAACAGGCCATCTCTCAAAATACCTTGATAAACAGCACTCCTCCATGCTCCATCCGATACCTCAGCAGAGACAACCACCAGCTTTCAGATGACGGATTCCATTCGATGTGGTTTACAGTTTTGGTATTCGAAAACCACCACCACAATGGAAATGTGATTACTACAGGCAGGAAGTTGAATACAAGGTATAAAATGCGGAATAAAGTGACTCTGATCGGTAGATGTTTGGGTACAACTAGTTCAGTATAGATGACTGTCTTCGGTTCATTTGATGTTGCCGACATAAATGGCTCAAGCATTATGGTATGCGAATTTAAAGGCGACACCAGTCCAGATATAGAGTGTAAAGTGACAGCCGACCCTATTGATATCGATAGAATCCATCCTGATTTCGTTATACTCTTCATTGGAGTAAATCTGCGATTTACAGGATGAAGAGGAGAGGCTCTACGAAATGTCAACCCCGAGATACGTCTCCATGTTCCTCTAGACAGCATGGTTCTCTTAATATGATATCAGGCCTACTGCTTTGGCTGTCGATGGAGCATACTTTGATAATACTCTTCCAACAATGAAAATAGTGAAACAGGGACGAGGATGTCTTAAGAATCTTTCAAGAATCACATCAAGAATCAATATATCGAGAGTCGAGGGGGGAAACCTTCTTGCCTTGTACTTCTACTCTGCCTCGCTGCCTCTCCTCGAAAACCGACATTCAAAATAATTCTCGGCAACAGTTCTTTAAGAAGGCAAACTAGATCCACGCCGTTTGAGATCCTAGCCTTGATGTAAACATGTGAACTTCTCCTATCTCCTGAGCTGCTTGATACAAGGCCAACATCTTTTTAGTCTTGGCCGTACTCGCTTGTTTTTGACATTTTGACGCCCTGGAACAGAAGGATAATGCCTGTACACCACTTGATATTGTTTGCATAAACCGCAAATCGCTTGATGTCTTGATGTTACTTGCAAAGCACCGCTCAAACACCAGATCCACGATATTCTTTTCAGAGCTCTTGCTGATGCGAGCACCACTACTGTCTACAACAGCCATGAGTTGTACCTTTGCTACATTGTTACGTACAGCTTGATCACCACTCCTCTGTTTGACAAATGTATGCTATAGATTATAACTGAAAGAGCAAGAGCACATTCTATTATAGGAAGATTGGGTATATGAATGGTTTGAACCCACGGTGACCATTTTCTTTGACAGCAGACCATAACTAAAGTCGAGATGTACGAGATTATGTGCTAAAGCATCCACTACATGTAGCGCTGCACTACTGATCTCATAGCGAAGCTTCAATGATTCGAAGTCTGGTCATAATGGGAGGATCACCCTGACTGTGAAATCGTGCTGTCCTGGATAGAGAGATTTTATAGATGATGTCGGTACTTGCTCGGGACGAAGATGATTAATTGACTCGAGAGGTCCTCTCGAGTTCCATGAGAGACTCATTTCCGTCAGTCGGGATATGGATTTTTTAGATACTGTCCAAAGTGTGTGCTCTCGGCAGGAATTGGCATGGGAGCACCATTGCAACGCGCAACCATGAGAGTCTCCAAATCTCGACACATGCTCATTAGGTCTACCACATTTTCACTCGTTTGGTTGGTACATCCAACACTAGGTGATTTCCAGCTGTTTCGGAAGACATTTGCTTCCGCGCTAAGGAAGTGTACGGTTGAACCATTGAAACTAGAAGTAATTCATGTAGAATATGCAGAGGTGAAGTTTATAGATTCAATAATATGTTACAGACCAAAAGCTCTCTATACCAATACTATGCCAAAGCTTTCCTCCATCACAGATTCGTCACCACCCCGACCACGACATGCAAGATATGTTCAGTCTATACGGATGCCTCCCATCAACGTACTACTATGTTAACGCCTTCTCTCCTTCTGATCCATTTCCACGACAAGAGGACCTAGAGAAAAGACATTCTGTATATAAGCCTGTCGTTTAGCAATCTCCAGTTCCTTTATTCCATTAGCATATAGCGATGCTATCTTGTTTTGATCTGCTTCAGAGGCATTTGAATGGAAGGCCTCCTTTGAGCGTATGCGAATGTAATTACTTATATTATAGCTCTTATATTGGCGAGCAGTTCGTAGCAGGCTTCGATAGAGTGCTAGTATGTCGTGTTTGGATGGTGTATATAGAGGTAGTTCCGTATCGGGAGTATGTTCGGTGCTGGATTGTGTTGTTGATGACACGTTTCTGCTGGATGTGGTGTGCTGGTGTATGGGCATTTGGTGGCATAGCTGGCTAGCGGATCGCCATATTCTTTGGCTTCTGGCTATCGACATTGCTAGGTGGATTGTTGTCTGCTCGTACGAAGGAAGAGATTTGCTTGAGTTGGATGATTTTGTAAGCTGACGTACCAAACATCCCGGAGCTTATCAGGTCAAGAAGCAAGATACGTGAAGACGAGTGCAGGTCGTGTCAACTCGCGTTCAATCGTGGATCCAACTTGAATCTGCCCTCTCTATTGGCTGCTGGAACGTCTAAACTTTGAAATCCAAGAAGCTCCTGGAGTCCGTTGTGCCCATTGTGCTCATACTAAATCAGCATCCCGACTTTAGAACTTGCATGTCTGTTCCTGGAATCTTGTTATGAGCTATATATTGAAGTGACTTCCTATTTCTCAATCCACTTATATCCACGTCGATTCCGTGATGATCAACATTCATTGGGCAAGCTGGACGATTGGAGGAATTGTCTACTTTGGATACATTCTAGCCTCATCAGTACTGCAGTTCGCGTACTATTACCGGAAACCCGATGCATGTTGGAAGGTGCAGCCAAAGAAATCCCATTCAAAAGAGGTAACGTCTGTAACATCCCTCTGTTTGACGAATTTCCTGGTTGACGCACTTCTTTTCAACCGCAATAGAAACGCTCTCTGTGGCCTTGGATACCGTTGTTTCTGAATATAAAACCTCACTGGAAGCGTGAGTGACCGAATCGCTTTCGAATTCTACAACCTCAAGCCTCACCACAAATTTCTAGTAACGCATCACATCTTTGCATGTATTAATCTGTTTTGGGCAGCTTTATTTGGCCTCGTCACAACAGAATGCTGGATTCGTGGAGTCAACCAGCTATACACCACAGAAGTCTATAACTCAACGGTGATAATACAGTCCACGGTCTCAGTGTTGTTGGGGCACGTCTTTGAAGCTGTAGCCGAATATTGGTGGCATCGCGCAATGCACACAAAGTTACTGTATACGCACTTGCACAAGTGGCATCATGTAGTAAGCGCCTGTGCTTGGATGAACGTTTGGTTGCAGCGCAATATGTGGTTTAACTAACCTTATCATTAGAATAAGAGTCCTGAACCATTTGATGATATGCTTATACATCCGCTGGAAGGGTTTGGCTACTACTTTATACTTTGGGGTACATGCAGCTTCTTCACGCTCTTGCTTTTTTCTCACGCCTAACCAGTGAATTTACATAGGCCCTGCATTCCTGTTTCCGCAAGACGTCAAGTATGAAGGACTGCTACCCATACTTCAGTTTAGTGTGCTCAGTGTCTGCTTCAATAGGTTCTTCTTCTTACTCTACCTCCTGCCAAATGGAATCTGCGGCATCCTAGATCACTGTGGGATCAATTTCGACTTTGGAGTCTATGCGGCGCGGGATCACGACCTTCACCATGAAAAGTTTAATGTTAATTACGCATTTCCACTTCCCATAATGGACATCTTGTGTGGAACATACGAAGGATCCTATTTAGGAGTACGGTATATACCGACAAGGAAGCTGAGGGGTCGATTTGGGGTAGAGACGAGAGACTTGCTGGTTTCGTCTGTAATCAAGTCAGCTGGTATCGAGAAGGCCAAGCCACGACGATCGTCGAAAGGGAGGGCCGTCAACCAGTAAATGCTGAAGCTGCTATACCATCCAGGACGAGTAGTCCAGAGAAGAGCAAAAATACTGTCGTCCTCACGCCAAAGGAGCGAACGTGTTAGAGGACGTTCTGTTTCTAGAGGTAGATCCACGTCGCGTAAGCGCACTGTATATATAACCCTTATATTTTATACAATTTGTCGAAATTCTTTAGCTCGTGCAAATATAACTCTGTCACCGCACCGCGTATCAATTCGTGACTCGTATAAAAATTATCAAAGTCGATGAACCAACGGTTTCTTACAACACTAGGAGGAAGAGCAAGCAGCGTTTTACGAGCATCGTCAAGAAGTAAAATAATCAGCTCAAGTACAGCTGCTGTATATCTGCATCGCTGTAAGTCTTCAACGTCGACACACGAAGAAGCTACAGTCGATTTAACGACTTCGCAAGCTCATATCAACCGCTATTGGAAGCAGGTTACTGGAGATACGGGTGATCCAGGTAGGACTTCGAAAGCTTTTCCTATGAAACTCGAGCGTGTCTCAAACAACTCAACATTTGTGACTCTTCCGAGTGAAGGAGCCCAATTTACAATGTGATGCTAATGCTTCATTCATATTCTATTGTAGCTTATATACCAGAAAAGACGTTACCAGACATGTCCAACATTCCTCCCACGGAAGATGGAATCCGAGAACTCTTGCTCAAAGCTATAACTGCCAAAGCCGATCAAGGTGATCTGGTGCCCTCCCTTTTAACCCAGCAGGCTATTGATTTCTATCGCACCCTCGAGATACCAATGAAGGCCGTGTACCTACGCGTCCTCGCTCGAGAATTCGGCGTCGACAAGAAACATGCACTTGAAGCAGCCATCGAATTCACGAAATCAGGAACCATGAGTGATCGATCTGCTGTACGAGCTGAAGAGGTCTTTAAAAGTGCGCTGGTGGCTCCATACCAGCGCTTCTTTCAGCAAGTGATTCAATTAGGTGGTGGTATGTCCTGGTTGGTGTCGCTGAGAGCTGATGTGTTGGGGTTACTGGCTGAAGATAATGATCCCTGGTTGCATGCCATTGACGGATATCTGAAGCATCAGTTGTCTAGCTGGTTTGGGGTTGGGTTTTTGGATCTGGAGCGGTTAACATGGAATTCACCTGCTTCGGTGCTTGAAAAGGTTACCTAAAAAATCTGCATGGATTCTCTGGTGTATTCAGTCTCTAAGTGATTGTATTTTAGGTTATTGCGTATGAAGCTGTGCATGAGATCAAGTCATGGACTCCACATCTGAAGCAACGGCTGTCGCAAGGGCGATTGTGTTATGCATTCTTCCATCGTGCTATCCCATTATTGCCGTTGGCATTTGTGCAAATAGCACTGGTTGATAAGATTTCAAGTTCAGTACAGGTAACATCGCTTAACCTGCACTTTTCGTTTCGGTGCCATTTCTTCGCGTTTCTTCTCACTTTTCAAGCTTTTCATAAGTTAAAACTCATTTGCCATTTTTAGACAATCTTGAACGATGCCAGCCCAAACTCGGATCCAACCCATCACAAAACCGCCATCTTCTACTCAATTACATCAACGCAACGTGGTCTTTCTGGAGTAGACCTAGGGAATTTCTTAATCAAACGAGTGGTTGTAGAAATCAAGAAACACATCCCAACCGTCGACACATTCTGTACACTATCACCGATACCTGGTTTCCGTAAATGGCTGTCGACGCAGATGAATCAAGAGATTGGATCTGGTGCTCGTGGCGGGCTTTTAGAGGCTAGTGAAGTTAGTCGATTGGTTGGAGCGTCGGGGAGTGCACTCGATGCAGTTAAAAAGCTGAATGTATGTGCCTGCTGCAGTTTCTCTGGTTCAAAATTCATCATACGACACTTGAACCGCGTTGTTTGTCCTGCTAGGAGCTCGTGTCGACTCACGATTGGGTAAAAGACAAGAGTTTAGAAGAATTATTAAAACCTTTGCTACTGAGATTGTGTAGCAGGTATGTAATCATTGCCTGTTCGCATGTTCCCATGCCATGTTTGACCTGTAATTTGACCTGTTGCTTTGCTATGTGCCCATACAGGTACCTGCTACTAGAAAAGAAACGTAGTTTCTGTCTAGACCCAGTGGGCAACTTCCACATCCGTAACGGCGCTTCCATCCATAGACTGAATTGGATGGGTGATACTCAAGTGAAGGGCCTGGTGCAATCCTTTGGTATCATGACCAACTATAATTACATCGTACCTGAAATCGAAGCTAATAATCAGCGGTACATGCATGATGGTATTATTGCCGTCGTGTCGACTGCTGAAGGAATTCATCCGACTCTACAATGGGCTGTTGAACAGAGTGGAAGGAAGGTTAAGATAGTGAGCTTGTCTGCTCCCTCGACGTCACCGCATCTGTGAGATGCTGGATTGTAGATTTAAAGAGACATTAATAATACGATTGATGGGTCTCGCATTATACTTGCGGGATGTTTTGACGCGAAATTGAGTGGTGTCTGTATTGGACTGCTACGCGTTATGCGACGCGTGAAGCGTGAATTGCTTGCTTGAGTTTCGAGTTTCTTAGTTTCTAGTTTCTAATGTTTCAGTATTTACATACTTTCCCTACGGAAATCGCCTGGGGAAGTCGGAAATCAGGCCAAGGGAGGTGTGTCTGTTAATTCTACAATTCTGCTTTAGCCACACACTTGCGTTGATCTAAGGCGTGGCCAGGACGTCTATTTAAGCGAAGGTCGTCTTCTAGGATTATGAATCTAATAATTTAAGGAACTATGCCAAGTGTTGTGATTGATACTGGATCAAACCGAAACAAAACACCCATACCATCTTCTTCGGCACTGTCGAGGTTTATCAAGAGAAGAGGCTGGATGGCACGTTTCCTGGTGCTAGTATTTGTAATTTGGCTCATTCATCTGGCCACTGTATGGTCTACATCCGTCGTTTCTGACCACGATCAAACTGATGGAGTAGATGCTGCTGTCGTGTCAAAGAGGTTTGATCTGACTTCCATCTTGTAAGATTTATTCTTTTGTCTAATTTCTTTATGCTTTAGATCAATCGCAGATAGAGTGCTTCGTAGCCCATCAGTTATTGGTGATGGCTCACCTATCAAAGACAAGACAGGTGCTGAACAAGTCATAATAAAAACGGCATCAAACAAAAAGAGCAAGAAGAAAAAGCCTGAGCAGCAGACGCCTGTTGTAAATAAGGTGGTAGGGATAGTCCCAGATGGTGTTAGAGGATTGCTACCATCGTTACCACCACCATCACCAAATCCTCAACCATCTGCTGAAGCTTCGCCTGGTCCCACGTATGGAGAGAAGGTGCCGGGTGCCCCTGATCCGCCTGATTATGGACCTCATGAAGAAGGAAGTTGTGGGAGGTAATATCTCTCGTGCAATACTAAAACCGTGTCTGGTGTCTTTTTGCCTCGTTTCGGGCGGTGGATTTATTTTACTTGATTTGAACACCACACCCTTTCGTAGATACGACTATCCAAAACTAGCTTCATTCCTATCAGCACCCTCAATACACTGTGACCCGAAAACCTCAAACTCCCAAGTCACCTGCTGGACAGACTACCGCGGCACAGACCAACGCAACCACTCCTTAACTCTCGACCACTACACAGAACGAGACTTAAAAGGCTGGCCTTCCCTAATCCTCCAATCAAACCCAACAATGTGCTTTGTCGAAGGCACAGTCCAGCTCGTAAAACAGTGGGCCAATGTAGCGAGAATAATGGTTCGAGATTGTGAAGGAGATTATGTCGTTCCACCTGGGGGATGGCAAGAATGGATTTATGGACGTGTTGATCTGGTTGATAAGAGTGGGAAATTCAAGACGCTTGATGAGAATATGAAGCCTAATGAAGCTGCCATGTTGTTGGGGAGGGCTAAGCCGTGTCAGGAGTGGGTTGAAGATGATGTGGTGTTTATTATACAGCATGACTATTGGCATTATGATAACCCGTAAGGATTCGACTTTGGTAGTGACTTTGGTAGTGTTGCAGAAATGTCGGTGCTGACAAAAAGGCTGTGTAATCTCTGATATTGCTTGCTCAAGTACTTACGCTCTCTCCCTTCTCACATCTGTAGATGGCACAGTTTGCTGGATCACTACGCAGTGTTTTTGACTGAGCAATTCATGAAGACCACACGACCCTTCCAATCTATGCGAGTATATTTCGCAGATGATCGATTGGAAGCTAATGATCCATTAAATGCATTATGGACGATGCATTCCTCAAAAGTCGGCTGTCTTACACGGGATGTGCCGGATGGACTGTGTTTTAGAAAGACAGTGTTGTCTCTGACAGGTCCAGATACGGAGTTGTGGCGTGAAGCTGTCATGACCAGTCAATGTAAATCTAGTAAAATGCTTCAGGTACCTATCACTGGGTGAATGCACGACTGCACGTGTTGGCAGCAACATCGCTTTGATTTTTCTACATTTTTTTTCGCTCACATACACACCTTTCAACTAGGACTTTTCTAGACGAGTCATATCTCATTTAGGCCTTGAGCACCTAAAACCACAAGGAGAATACGACTCGATAGTAATCGCACATCGAAACACACGTCGAATATCAAACCGGGAAGAAGCACTACACCATTTACAAACCTCCTTCCCAAACAATCCAGTCAAGATTGTAGCATTTGGAGAAATGTCGTTGATTGAACAGATCAAGATTATTCGACAAACTACTATCTTGATTGCTGTACATGGAGCTGAGCTGACTCATTTGATGTGGATGCCTGAAGAGGCTATAATTATTGAGATTCAGCCGTTGGGATGGGGGAGGGAAGTGTTTAGGAACTTGGCTAAGGTGGGCTTTGTGGTGTTTGAAAATACAATCATCGGGTCAAAAATAAGCACTCGCAGAAACCAACCAATGTTGAAAGGTTCGAACTCACCCTCACCAATTTTGGTTTCATCTTAGTTCTCTGGAAAAATATATATGGCGATTGAAGCCGATATAGATCCGATACCTGAAGCTCGTGCATGGAAGAATGAGCATGAACAAAATGTACATCCTAATCTAATAGTGGATTTAGACAAGCTGAAAGAGGCTGTAGCTGGAGCACTCCTCATCTCCTCCAGTAGTTTTGGTACTCGAGCAGTAGGAAGATGGGTTAACGGAAGCAGAGTTGATGGCTTGCCTGAACCTTACTAAGAGAATTGTGGGGCGCTGGATTGCATCATAATGTTATTGTATACAAAAGCAAAGTGGAACAGTTATTTCATTTTTGTGCATATATAGAACATACAGTAGTTTTTCTACTCTCTCTGTTTCTTACAAACACAGCACACATATTCTTTCTTTTACAATGATGCCTTGAAATCAGGCATCTTAATGACATCGCACGTCCAATCCCACAACTTTTCAATCTTTTCGGGATTACGACTATCTTCACTGCTAGTGACAGGCTCTAGCTTCTTGTCAACATCAAAATACAACCCACTTTTACCATTCAGTTCTTCTGAGAGGCATACAGATGCAACGAATTTACCACTCGTTGGCAGATCCACGGTGAATGAAAACCAGGGGAGGATATAGTTCATGATGAATCGGGTTGCGAAGCCCGAGTGTCGTGCAAGTTCTGTTGTTGGTACGAAGCCTTCATAAGGATGGAAGCGAGTGAGACTTGATGGAATGTAGCTCGAATAATGGTTGTCTCGTTTTTCATACCTGGATTCAAAGCGAATACACCAACACTTGCATCTGGGAAACGCTTCTTCAATCGTGCGTCAAGAGCATACAGGAACCATACCTAATGCAAGAGAAGGTAATAGTAAGCAAAAACACATACCATACGAGAAGTTGGATAGCAAATAAATTGTGGATTCTCAAACACATACATTTGCCAACTTGCTCTGCCTGTAAAACTGCATCCCATCGTACTCTTCTCCACCATCAATGTTCTCCCACTTCCAATTTGGTTTCTTCATTCTGTCACCTCCAATATTGGGGTCGTGTATCGAGGATGCAACAATCACGATTCGAGACTTGGGAGCCACTTTGCCCAACTTCAGTAACGTCAATATCATGAGTGCGTGTCCGACGTGATTGCCGTATAGAGTATCTTCGATACCAGGGTTGGTAACTGAGCGTTCTGTGAGTGATGCACCTGTCATGATCACGAGGAGAGTCAGGACAAAAAACCTTGTCAACATTATGATCACACGTCAGAGAGCAATATGTACCAGCATTAGCCAATACGAGATCGATATGATTGAATTTCAACGCATTGCAGAATGACAAGACACTGTCATTGTTGAGCAAATCGAGTTTTGCCGCAATGTACTTTGTTGTGTTTGATGTTGATGCAGAGAGTTCCGTGACGGTCTTTTGGGCCTTTTCAAGAGATCGGCAGGCTAAGTAATGAGTGGATATAAGATGTTGAAATGAAATGACCGTGTGAATATGTTTGAACTTGCCTAGAATAATGGTCCAGTTGCCAATATCGCCAATTTGTTTGGCAGTTTCGCGTCCGATTCCGGCATTAGAGCCTGTGATGATGGCTACACGTGACATTATTGCAGGTATATCGTTGTGCCTTTGCTTTGCTTTGACGGTCAAACTACTAGTAGGCTCTTCTACTCGTTAATCACACCACCTTCACACGTTTCGCGAATTCAAGCTTATTAGCAGACTTTGATATAGCGGTCGGTCAACGACAATGGCACCAGACACTCTGATTCCTGTAGACGCGACACAATTCTCAACAGATGCTACTCGATGGCGACTGCATGTCAAGGAGGGTGCTCAAGTTTGGGAATACTTGGACGACGATAAATTAAGGACTAGAACGCCTCAAGCTACTTATGACAAGTATTGGCTAGGCATACTAAAGGTATGATTTGAGCTCATGAGCCTATATCGCTGCTACATGTTGTTTCTTTGCTCGTGACATCAAATGCACCACACATCTTAACCACACATTGCATTCAACAGGACATGCCAACTCTATCAAAAGCTACATCTGCTCGAGATGCAGCTCGCAACGGTTTCAATTTCGCAAAAGAATTGCAGACTCCTGATGGTCATTGGGCTGGTGAATATGGTGGTCCAATGTTTCTGATTCCCGGTTTGACTATTGTCATGTATATTACTGGCACGCCGTATCCGCCTGGGTATCAGCAAGAGCTTATACGCTACTTGTTCAATCGGGCTAACAAGGAGGATGGTGGTTGGGGAATGTGAGTGTGAAATATACGGCGTTTGGTTGAGCACAGAACCTTGCATTGTTTGCAGTGGAGCTAAAAAAGTCGGCGCCCACGATTCATGTGTCTTGATTTTCAGGTTTCACGAACTACAACACGCTCACACGTCATGTTACTTGTAGTCACATTGAAGGAATCTCGACGGTATTCGGCACCAGTTTGAACTATGTAGCTTTGAGACTCTTAGGCGTTGATGCCAATCATCCTGTATGTGTCAAGGCTCGAGACACTCTACACAAACTGGGCGGCTCAGCTGCTATCCCAGCTTGGGGCAAGTTTTGGTTGTCTGTTTTGGGATGCTATGACTGGGCGGGCAATAATCCCGTTCCGCCTGAATTATGGTATGAAGCCATATGCAATCATGTCTTTCATTTTTTTGTGCGGAGTATGACCCTCCAAACTCACGTCACTCCTCCCAATCGCGCAGGATTCTACCACAAGCGTTACCCTTCCATCCCGGTAACATGTGGTGCCATTCTCGTATGGTTGCATTACCAATGTCGTGGCTGTATGGTAAACGATATGTCGGGCCCATCACGGATTTGGTCAAGGAGCTTCGTCAAGAGCTCTATACTCTGAGATACGAAACAATTGATTGGCCACGTCAGCGGAATAATGTTGCTAAAGTGGACTTGTATCAGGCACATACTTATGTCTTTGACTTCCTCAATGGTATTAAGCAGTTGAAAGACGTTTTTTGCGCATCATTGACGCTTCCTTCTTCCAATACAGTCTTTTTGGGCATATACGAAAAATTCCCAATAGAATCCTTCCGCAAAGCAGGCTTAGACGCAGCCCTCCATCAAATTAGAACAGAAGACGAAAACACGCTCTTCCTGGACTTGGGTCCAGTCAACAAGGTCATGAACATGCTGATTACATTCATTGAAGATGGTCCTACATCGGTATCGTTTCACAAGCATGTCGACCGGATTGCTGATTTCATGTGGATTGGAGGTGAGGGGATGATGATGAATGGAACTAATGGGTCGCAGTTGTGGGATACTGCCTTTATGATGCAGGCGCTGGTTGAGTCTGGGTTGGCAGAGTCTGAGCCTGCTTTTAAGGAGCATGTGCTGAAGGCGTTGGAGTTTTTGGATGTTACTCAGGTATGATGTGTTGTGGTTGGTTTCGTTTGAACTTTACGTCACCTTTTGGTTTTTCCCCCCTGCCTATTAATCGCCTGTAAAACTAATCCAGTCTCGCCCTCCCTTCAATATAGATCAAAAAGAGTGCCAAAAACCACAAATCCTGCTTCCGATTCCCGGCTGAAGGCTCTTTCCCATTCAGCACACGAGATCAAAGCTATACCGTATTCGATTGTACAGCAGAGGGGCTCAAGGCTGCCATCTACTTGCAAAAGAGGGTCACATATGTTCCACAACGTCTCAACGAAGCACGGATATTCAAGGCAGCAGATGTATTGCTGGCTGGTCAGAATTATGATGGTGGATTCCCATCATATGAGCCTGCTCGTGCTCATCCGTGGATTGAGTGGCTGAATCCTGCTGAAGTGTTTGGTAAGTAGTTGCCGAATGCTATATATACAACCTTATGGAAAGCGTATGCCATCCGTTGCTATCCTCGGGTACCAACTTTTCTTTTGCTTATCGTTTAGGTAATATCATGATTGACTACAGTTATCCAGAATGTACGACTGCTTGTGTCTTGTCGTTAACGACGTTCCGTAAACACTATCCAAACTATCGAAGCAAGGATATAGAGTAAGTCCTCCTGGTTGTAGGAAGCTCGCAGCGCGTGTGATATGCTCCAAGCATAATCCCCATTGACTCGATGGCCGTTTTTGCTCTTCACAGGAAGGTAGTCAAGCGAGCCATCAAGTACATCAAAAACGCTCAACGACCAGACGGATCTTGGTATGGCTCATGGGGTGTTTGTTTCACATATGCTACGTGGTTTGGTATTGAAACTTTGGCTTCTGTTGGGGAGTACTATGATAACAGGTGAAGACGCGAAAACAATTCTGTTCAAAGGTGGAATTGCCAAATGTAGCTGACACTGGTTTCCTTCCATAGCCCTTATGTGAAGCGAGCGTGTGACTTTTTGATATCCAAGCAGCAGAGTGATGGAGGCTGGGGCGAAAGCTACAAGGTAATGGCAATGACATACATAGGGATCGGTAGTCATTCTTTTTCATATCTGATTTTTTTTGCCCTCGGGAATTTATCATTTTAGTCTTGTGAACAATGCATCTACATTCAGCACGAAAAGTCCCAAGTGACCAACACATCATGGTAAGGAATGGTTTAACAATCTTGTAGAAACATATGTTTGACCATCTGAATTGATAGGGCTGTGATGTCTCTCATACAAGCACGATATCCGTTCGAAGAACCTATTAGACGTGGTGTACAAGTCATCATGTCTCGCCAACAAGCTAATGGTGAATGGCTGCAAGAGGGTATCGAAGGTGCCTTCAACAAGGTATAACACACTCTTCAATGAATGACATGTAAAAAAACAACTTACATAAACACTTATGTGATTTCTTTTCTAATAGAATGTGATGATATCATACCCAAACTACAAATTCTCATTCACTATCTGGGCACTTGGTCGATACGCTAACGCATACGGAAATCCTACATTGCCGCTACCGAAAGATGCACCCATTCCTGTGCGTGTTGATAAGCATCCGTATCCACCCAAGAAAACCGTACGTGACGATGATCAAGAGCCTAGTAAGTTGAACAAGATTATGGCTGCTTGTACGTTTGGTGCGATGATGGTTGGGATGTTTCTCTTGTTGAAGAATAGGAAGTAAAGGGAGTGTAGAGGGGAGAGAAGTAGAGAGAGGTTGTAGTTGTTTGTTGAATAATAAATATGTTTTACCTGGTGAATGTGGTATGGATTTGGTCAAGTTTGGGAACATTTGCATGACGACCAACTGACAAGCAAAGCACCACACGTTACAAAGGAAACCCCTTGGCTAGGACCATTAAAGGTACGGCTGGAGCTGGTGAGCAAGTGTAGTCCTTTTCGTTCCTTTTTTCTATCTTTGCCTCAATGACGTTAAAACTTACATTCCTAGGACTTGACAACAATTTTAAACGCATTAGCTAGAGATGCAGCTATTGATGCTCTCAATTCCGGCAAACAGTTGCAAAATCACTGGGCTGATGCCTAGGGTGGTCCAATTTTTAATTGATTCCTGGTCTGGCAGTCGGAATGTACATTAGCGTGCGCCATGTCCTCACGGGCAGCAGCAAGAGCCTATACGATGCTTGTTCATTCGTGTCGAGGAAGAGAATAGTGGTTGGGGAAAATTGTGATTACAAGATCAAAATGACTTCAGATGTGTTGTGGCCCGTATAGCAAGAAAAGCTTTTGGTCTCGTTGCCATCGTCACTTCTGAAGTACGGCAAAATACACCACTCTCACATGCTCGTTTTTCGTCCTTATAGCCACAATGAACGAATCTCGACCGTGTTCGTGACCAGGCTGAATTCTGCAGCTTTGACGCTCTTGGGTTTAGATGACTGTTGTGCTGCTGAACGTGTCAAAAGCTCTAGATACTCTATACATATTGAGTGGTTCGGCTGCTATACCCACGTGGGCCAAGTCTTGGTTGTCTGTATAGGAATGCTATGTGGATGTAACATGGAATGTACGGATGTCTCGATCTTGACATCGACCATCCCTGAACTCCTAAAATTCTTTTTTTGTCGCTCAACATCGAACTCACAACTTTTTCAGTTTCTTGAAGGATTCTTCACAAGCTGTGCCCTTCCATCCTGGTAACATTTGTTGCCGTTTTCGTATGGTTTGTAGTGCCAATGTCGGGATTGGTATGGCCAACGATTCCGTGTTGTCATAGATTGGGTAAAGGAGCTTCGTCAAGAACGGTATACGAAACTCTTCATTGGCCCATTCAACCAAACAATGTTGATAAAGTGGACTTGTTTCAGGCACATTATGTCTTTGATTTCCTCAAGAGAGTATGCATCGGTTTTGGGGGTCGGTTTTTTGCGCTTGACTAACACTCTCTTCTTCTACCACAGTGTTTTTGGGCATATTCGAAAATATCCCCAAGAAACTCCTTTCGCAAAGCAAGCTGAGACGCAGCACTTTGTCAAAGCAAAACCGAATGTGAAATTGCTCGCCTACTAGACTCGGGTCCAGTCAACAAGTTCATGAACAAGGTCTTGAACACGTTGGATGCTTACGGTTCTACATTTATTACACCCGCACACCACATCCAACAGAAACATGTCATTACCAACAACATCACCATCCAGCACCCAACAGACTCCCGATACGGAACTACCTCTATACACACCATCCAAACAGAACATACTAGAACTCTATCGAAACCTGCTACGGACTGCTCGCCAATACAAGAGCTATAATATAAGCAACTACATTCGAATACGCTCACAGGAGGCCTTCCACTCAAATGCCACGGAAGAAGATCGAAATAAGATAGCATCGCTATACGCTAGTGGAATAAAGGAACTGGAGATTGCTAAACGACAGGCTTATATACAGAATGTCTTTTCTCTAGGTCCTCTTGTCGTGGAAATGGATCAGAAGGAGAGAAGGCGTTGACATAGTAGTGCATTGATGGGAGGCATCCGTATAGACTGAACTTATCTTGCATGTGGTGGTGAAAGTGGTGACTACGAATGTGTGATGGAGGAAGGCTTTGCCATATATTGTTGGTGACAGCTTTTGGTCTGTAACATATTATTGAATCTATAAACTTAATCTCTGCATATTCTACATGATTTAGCTCTACTTTCAATGGTTCAAGCGTACAGTTTGTTGGTTTTTGGTTTCGGGAACCCATTCACAGAATATATACCCTGATGCTCCATCCTCATTCAGTGATTGGGCTTTCAAGCATGGTTGAGTGGCTAAGTATTAGACGGTAGCAGGTGCTGTGTTTCTGGCTATGCGATGCATTGTCATCACTATACGGCGCGCCTACATTGGGGAGTATGAGGGAGAGAACCTCGGTTCCAGTCCTGGCCTGAAACGCAAATGCTACTTTTTTTTGTGATGCAAAAAATGTATATTAAAGCGATTTATAGCAATAATCTACACCAAAAAGCAGCACCTTTACATTCATAGAATCCAAGTAGGATTATCCAAACGACGACTTGTCCAAAACGGCGCAAGACAAAGCTCTGAGCAACCATACCGTGAGCAGATTGCGCGTGAGCCCACGCGGCTGCCTTGAATGCGACGTAAAGTTCTACACGGTCGGGAACAAGGTAACCCATGGTGTCAAAAGCAAATGGAAGGAAGCTAAATCCAGCAAGACTACAGGTACCAACATTATAATCTCCGTTTCTTCCTTCAAGGCTTCTTGGCATTTTCACAGTAAAATTATATATAAACCACATAAAATGGGATGGGGAATCATTGCAAAACCTCTACAGTAAAGTTGCGCTGGGATATCCTCTGCAAAAACAAGGAAACAGAAAACACGTGACTTACTGCACAGAGCCAGAACTTGTACTAAACTAAAGGAGCCATGCTGTCTAGGCTTATATGTAGACGCATGTTGTGGTCGAAAACTCGTACGACCTCTCCTATTACATCCTGTAAAACAGGAAGTTTTACTAACATAAAGAGCTGTATAACGAAATCACGACGGATTCTATCGATATCAGCAACATCAGTCTTCACTTCACTCACGATTGTTGGAGTTGTATCGTCCCTCAATTCGCCAACATTGACGCAAGAGCCAGTCAAATCGCTGGCATCAACTCTGCTGAACCGAAAACAATAAACTGGTTGTACCCAAACATCGACCACTCAGAGCGACATTATTACGGATTACATACCTTTTATTCAATTCTTGCCAGCATTGATCACATTTCCGTCGTGGTGGTGCTTGTCGAACACCAAATCCACAAACCAAATCGAATGGACTCCACCATCTGAAAGCTGGTGGTTGTCTCTGCTGAAGTATCGGATGCAGCATGGAAGAGTGCTGTTTGTCAAGGCATTTTGAAAGATGGCCTGTTCTGGTGGAGATGTATGCTAGTCAGTCCCACTCCGAACTTACATCCTTGCTCCTAGTTGGCACAATGGATCTCATCACGGTACGATGTATTCTCTCCTAATATATGTTATGCGCTATCACGTCTCCAGTCTCATGTCACAACCCGTAGTTTAGAACACACAAAACAATCCTTCAAATCGAGTATTGGAATCTATTTGGACTTAGTCATCAATCTCAACGAAACTCCCATTGGTATAGGTACTATAGGGCAGGTGTATAAAGTAACACCAGCACACCAGGTCTACACAAACTAGGTGGTTCGGCTGCTGTACCAACTAGGGGCAAGTTTTGCTTGTCTGTATTGGGATGCTATGTGGCGAGACGTATAGTATGTACCATGTCTAGATCATTGCAAGCAGCATCCTGATTCTTTTTTTGTCTCTCAACATAGAAGTCACAGCTTTTTCATTCTCTTAAAGGATGCTCCACAAGCTCTTCCCTCCCATCCTGGTAACAATTGGTGTGGTTTGTAGTGCCAATGTCGGGTTTGGTAGGGCCAACGATTCGTTGTTCTCATAGATTTGGTAAAGGGGCTTCGTCCAGAACGTTTAACTCAGAACCACGAAACGATAGATTGGCCCATTCAACCAAATCATCTTGATAAAGGAGACCGGTATCAGGCACTTTATGTCTTTGATCTCCTCAATGGTATCTATCGGTGTTTTGTGAGTTTTTTTTGCGCTTGACTAACACTCCCTTTTCTACACATTGTTTGTGGGCATATTCGAAAAATTCCCTGACAAATTTCTTTTGCAAAGCAGGCTAAGACGCGGCACTCGGTTCAGAGCAAGACCCAGATGAAAATACTCCCAACTAAGACTTGGGTCCACTCAACAAGGGCATGAACATGTTGATTGTATTTATTGAAGATAGTTCTAAATCGGTATCGTTTCATAAACGTATTAACCTTTTGCTGATTTCATATGGATTGGAGCTGAGCGTATGATGATGAATGAAACTAACGGGTCTCAGTTGTTGGATAGTGCTTTATGATGCAGGCGTTGGTTGAGTCGGGGCTCACAGAGCTGAAGCGGCTTTTATGGAGAATGTGCTAAAGACCTTAAAGTTTCTGGATGTTAGTCAGGTATGTACTCTCGTGGTTGCTTTCGTTTGGGGCATGGAATCCAAACTGCAACATTGAACCGTGAGCTAAGTCAATCTGCTCTTCTCGAAAAGATTTAAAAGAGCACCAGACATCACAAATCCTGCTCTCGATTCCCAACTGAATGTTCCTTCCGATTCAGCACACGAGATCAAACCTATATCAAATTGGACTGTGCTGCTGAAGGGTTAAAAAGCCGCCATCTACTTGTAAGTACCTGATGGTGGCACTGAGTGCCCGGCATGTCGTCAAACAGATGTGACATCACGGCATATTGGGCAGAATTTAACCTGTTTTTGCCTTCTGCTTTCGGTTAGGAGTACCATGATGGACTACAGTCTCCCTCTTCCAGAATGTACTACTGCAGTGTGTTGAGTCCCTGACAGCCTTCCGTGAACATTATTTGAACTATCGAGCGAGGATTCGTTATGGGAAGAGTGCCTGAAGCTAGTGGTCTACGCGTAACACAATGCGAAAGTGATTCGTTTGGAATTGTTTTTGCTGCTAATGGGAAGGCTTCACGCGAGCCATCAAGTATAATCAAAAAGTCGATGCAGTATGGCTCACAGTATTTCTATTATTTCTTTCGCTAGTCTTGTGATGTCTCCCGCTATCCTTTCGAGTCACCCATGAGACGAGATTTACACGTCATCATGTCTCGTACTATTGTTGAATGGTTGCAGGAGGGTATATGAAAGTGCCTTCAAAGAGGCGAACGGTGTGGTACCCATTGATGAGGCGGAGTTAAATGACACCATATACAAGGAGCAATTTCTTCCTTTACCATTAGTTAATGGTGATAGATCCCCAAAGTACAAATTCTTGTTCGCTTGGTCGAGACGCCAACGTGTGTCATAACTGCACATCGCTGTTACCGAAGATTCTCGTCTTTCTGTACGTGCCATGAAGAGCAAGATCCGCTCAAGCTGATCAAGCTGAAACTTTGAGCACCGAATAAGATTATGGCAGGTTGGGCTATCATGAAATTTGTGATGAGGGTTTACTTAGACCGAATGTTCGTCTTTTTCATCCTAGGAATTAGAAGATACACGTAGCTTTATTAATAACAATCCGCATTACGTTTTGGCTTTTAGCACGTAAATATAGCGTTAGAACACGTGAACAGCGTATCCCCGTTCGATCTCCACATGTTTTTTCGACAAACACCTAAAAAACAATGAAGTAGCAAGAATGAACCGAGCACATCAACAGCCTACGCAGATCCAAGTGCAATACGATGCTCATCCACAGAGAGCACAGCAGGCACCATATAGAACACCCTTCCTCCCAGAATCCATTGATCCATCATTGCCAATTTCCGCCCAACTTGAAATATATCGAGAATTGGCAAAACATTCTGATCTGGCAACTCAGCTGAACTATGCAAAGTATCTCATATATGTCGCTGAAGGTAGGCTGTCTACTGTGTCTGACTCGGAAGAGTCAAATTGATGTAGATTAAATGTGGAGATTGGATGCTTTCATTGAGCGAGTGAGAGGACACCTTGGTGGTAGATGTCAGGTAGATCCATGCAAAGAAGGCTGAGGAATGACTTGATATCATCGTTTATCATGATTCTGTCGTGATATCTCACCAAAAACTGTCGTGTTGGCGACACAGCACACTACCGCTGTATTCCTCCAGCATGCTCTTCTTTTTTCGCTGATGCGAGGAAAGACGTTATCTAATCAATGAAATACTAAGCGATCTCCTTTCGTTTGTTAGATCCATTATACGCTGACCCAAATCCAAAGATTGCGAGAAAGACTCAGGATGCATTGTATCAAGAATCTCTAAAATGGATTAAACGACTCGCAAATGCTGGTAACAAGATCAACCAAAACATGCTCCGGTGAATGTATTGAACAGACTCAAGTATCTGATTACTAAATTCCATTACCATATAGGCAAGGCATCATCCCCAGGTGAGATGAATCCGTTGATCACTTAATATAAGATGATGGACTTACCCTTTTCAAATCTTACAGAGTCCCAATTCTTCCTCGCAGAATGCTACGGCAACGGCTCCCTCTCCCTGCCTGTAGACCACGAAAAAGCATTCAACCTATATGTAGCAGCCTCAAAACAAAACCACCCATCAGCTACATATCGTACTGCCGTTTGTCACGAAGTTGGTGCTGGCACCAAACGTGATCCAGCTCGATCTGTACAGTTTTATAGAAAGGCTGCTACTTTGGGAGACACTGCTGCCATGTATAAATTGGGTATGATACTACTGGGTGGATTGCTGGGAGAGAAGAAGACTCCTCGTGAAGGTGTTACTTGGCTAAAGAGGGCTGCTAGTCAAGCTGATGAGACGACACCTCATGCGTTACACGAGTTGGCGGCGCTGTATGAAGGGAGGGTTGAAGAGACTGGTGGGAATATTATTCCGGTATGCACTGTTGATGCACATTCACTAATTTTTTGCTCGTTTTGGCACCTTGACAAAACCAAATAATGCGAATGAAGCAAACCCTCTTATTCCATCTTTCAAAGGATCCATCATACGCCCACGACTTGTATTTGAAGGCAGCTCAACTAGGCTATGCACCATCCCAATATAAACTCGGAATCTGTTATGAATACGGCATGCTCGGTGTCGCAGTAGACCCACGACGCTCCATAGCATGGTATACACGAGCAGCCGAACAAGGAGAACCAGAAGCAGAACTCGCTCTATCAGGCTGGTACTTGACTGGAGCAGACGCTGTACTAGGCCAATCAGATCAAGAAGCCTACCTCTGGGCCCGTAAAGCAGCTGATAAAGGACTAGCAAAAGCTGAATATGCGGTTGGATATTATACAGAGAATGGCGTTGGAGTTGTACCTGATTTTGAGGAGTCTCGACGATGGTATTTGCGGGCGGCAGGACAGGGGAATAAAAGGTACAGAGGTTGAAAGAGTACAGAGGTTGCTTTTCAGTCATTAAAGTGAGACATCAAAAATTTAACCAACACTCTCTAACGTCGACTAGGGCTGTACAGAGGTTGAAAGAGTTTAAGGCTTATGCATCTGGAATGATGCCGACTTCCATGTCACAGCAGCCGTCTCAGTCGTCTCAGTCAAGAGGTCAGATGGCATCTAATAATTTTCGACGAGATGCTGTTTTAAGTGAAGAGAGAAAGGATCAACGTGGTGATTGTAACATTATGTAGTTTGTATACTGGTAGAGAACAGTCCATCGTTATCATTTGTTTGATATACCCATCATCATATCATCATCTCCATCTGAAGCATATTTAACCAAACCAAAGCACCAAAAAATTATCAAATTAGTGTTGAGAAGCCAAATAAAATTATACGTAAATTACTTAAATTATTCTTGAGTTACATGTCATAGGTAGACAATGCAAAAAATCGGGCGGAATCGATCTTTTCATCTCCTTCTTGCCAGCATCCACCACGCTGGACTCTTCTTCCCATTCTTGATATACTCTACAGTATCATCAAAGAAAGTCGTCACCAAAAACAAAATATCCCACGCCTTCTCATCAAAACAAGTCCTAATCTCATCTTCAGTCATAACTGGCATCCCACCGGCTATCAGAGATGGAGTACTCGTTCTGCCTACTAGTAGCATCAATAATCCTGTTTTCGGCTTTAAATACGTCTCATATTTATGAAGCAGCCCTTCTTGATTGACTCGTCTTAGCACGTGGAAACATTGACAATCGTATATAAAATCGAATTTAGATGTTAGTGGGTGTGCTATGGACTTCCATAGCGTTGCTATGCTCGTTTTGATGCCGTTACTGGTACTTGCAGCAGTACTACTAGCTTGTTGTGGTATATCCGGTTGTGATGATTTGAGCATCCTTTCAGCAACAGCGACACTAAACGTATCGGGTAACTGGAATAAATCATGCTGTAGTATTATAGCACGATGTGATGGAATGCCCAGCTGTAGAGCCATATTACGGGCTTGGGTGACTGGTTTTTCTACAAGTTCGATTCCGACGACTGTGAATCCTAATTGAGACATGTACAATAATGATGATGCTGTCCCGCATGCGAATTCTAACGTAAAATGATACGCCAATTAGCTTAAATCAAAGTAGAGAGACCTTACCTCACCACGATCGAATACTTCAAAACAAATGTTGATGTGATTACATACCCAAGACACGTCCATTTACTGGCGGCTTGAATCTTCTACATTTACTGCATACATGAATCTTATCGTTCGTCGCTCCACGAGCCCGTCCATGTATATCCAGTCCATCGGGAATGTGATTTGAATTGCCAATTGGAGCAGGCAGTAATTCACACGAGCTGGTCAAGTAATGCACTAGTTGAGAGGCTGCTGCTTGGGAATCCCATGGTGGGATGTCGTATACTTGATAGTATGTCTCCCATCTATTTGGATCTGTTGGGTCTATCTTTACATCTAATGTCATTTGTTGTTGAATGCGTAAGCATGTTTGATGCTGGGACGTTGAGTCGATCGCAAGCAACCAGGCAAGCAATTTTTCTCGCTCGGATCATTGATAATTTGCTTTGGAACTGAGCGAATCTATCGCGATGAGCAAAGGAACTGTATACCATGTCTATATGGTGATATTCATGTTGCTAAACCACTAATCTCTTTCATTTCATGAATACATATCGCTACGTTACTATAGATATTTGCTCCTTTACTACCACATCCTACATCAAACGAGGCTTTTGACAAAAACTCTTGGACAGCAGAAGGAGACAACAGGGAAACACCGCGTGCTGGGTAAGACGGGCGACTTCATGTTCTGCCGAAAACTCCTGCAGTTTTGCTACATTATTACTTATAGCCATTTCACCACTCCTTTCACGAGCTACTGACCTACAAAGATCTTTGATATTCCCTTTTGCTACAATCCTAATACAGCGTAGATCTGGAAAACGAGGATAATACAATGCTTCGACAATCATCTTAGTTGGTATGCTACTCAGATTGAGCCCCATGGTTTGCAGCTTGGTGGAGTATTCGCCCACAGCAGCAAAGCCTTGTTTGCTGATAAGATCTTTCCCACATACAAGAGTCTGCAAGTTGGGTAAGAATGGGAGAAATGCTGCGATATCCATATCCGGCCCACTTGATTCAAAGTGCTTTATTTGTGGCATTGGTAATTTATGGTGGTGGTCGTCCATACCTACAACAGCATTACCATTTTTCAAACCTTGCTGTGACGAATAAGTTTTGATAGGCAGCGGCCTACCAGCAATATCGACGAGTTCTAGCAATTGCATTCAACGAATCATGGTGGTCCATTGTGAGCACACGAAAACATTTATGCCCCTCCTTGCTACAAGCTAGGGCGAAGCGGTAACTCGTTGCCGTGGCATCATAAGCGGAGCAAGCCGTAGCAACAATTTGTTGGTTTTGAATTCACGGACTGTGATCCTTTTCGAGATCCTCGCACACAGCTACAAACTCGAAATAGAACCCATGATACTAGACTCTACGGCGGGCATTTGACGTCCATACTGGTAAATATGTGGAGAGTTCAATTGTTTGCTCAAGACTGCGAAGACGTGGTGTGGCCGAAGCTTCAAAGCGCGATGAATCTGATGTCCCAGTTATTGTAAGGTCTGGCCGACATCGACCACTCTGATGCACTAAAACTTCCAGCAAGATAAAGCAAGAGATATTCAAGTAATCCCACCAATCTTACACTGCTCGCCAGTGATTGTGTTGTCAACTGCGACACACGACTTGTCCCCGAAGTTTCTAGCCGAAGAAACTTTCAATATTCAAGAGATTCGATGTCCGAACTTAGATTTGCTGTAATTTCCCTGGATCGCTAGTTACAAAAGCATCCTATCATCGTCAGGCATCCACCGGAATCAATACAGTGCTTTCCATCAACAGCGAGGAGAAGCAAGTAACCGTTCGCGTTTTTCGCGCTCAGAACTATTTTCTCATCGCTTCTGATGGCTTTTCCAGTTAGTTTCAGTCTCTGGAAGGCGTAAAAGTCATCTCCTTCCCCAATTCGTCATTGAATGCTGAGGGGACAGTCCAAATGAGGAAAACCATCATCAATTAGCTACATGTGCAATAGATTATGGTGGTAGAAGTGGCTGTAGACGATAATGCATTCACAAATGCTCTAGTTCTAGTACGTTCTTCATCGCAATCTTTACAGCTGTTTGAAACAGAGTTGTGCTAAATGACACCTCGTTTTCAAACCAGACCAACATAGCGAGAATCCGATGGAGAAGATATTATCACGTATGTCACGTCACAGAGCTTCAATGGAAACTGGCTGCTTCAACCTCTCAGATACCTGGTCACTCCGCATCACTCCAAGATCCATTGTTGAATGCCCATTTGGCCTTACTTGCTGCTGGTATTCCTTGCGCGTGGCGCCTAGGAGATTATGATCCCACTCAAAAATCACACAATGGACGTCCAACGCGACTATACGCTAAATCGACCATGGCTTCTCTCACCACAACTCCTGAAGGAATGTCGACAAGGCAAGTTCCTGAAGCACCTCGGAACCACTACATCGGCGAAGAAAATGTGCGATTGGCTTATTGTATCTATCTATACAGCGCTACTTCTCCGATGGGGATGGGACAGAACTCACCGCAAGCAACACCTCAAAGTACTTCCCCACAATATATGCCAGCATCACCTTACTCAGTGCCCGTTCCTGGATCGGAACTGCCAACTGATTTCTCTCCGATTCCTGCCATAATGGATGATGTCGCTCGGCCAGCTGATCCGAATACGTATGATACAACTGGCGACCAGAATGAACTTAACGCTGTAGAAGATGGTGTCCTGTCACGAGAATTATGGATTTTCGAGTTTGGAGACTTGAAACTACAGCAATGCCCAGAGCTACAGAAGCTCACAGGTATGGGTTGTCGGAAACTCGTAAAAAATAGGTGCTGATTTGCCTCTCATATGTAGAACTCGAAGCTGGATGGTTTTCGTCCGACAATGTATACAATACTCTCGGATTGGCCTCTAATGCACCTTGTACAGTTGAATACTCCTTATTTATAAATGCCATGCACAATCTGTTGGAAAGGTCAGTCAGTCCCCAACCACATCAATGCCTCGTGCTAACAGGCACATTTCTTTAGATCATTCACCAAGAATGGTGTAGTCCGAATTGGACATCAATTTATAATACCTCAAAATGTTTCTCAGACTCCATCGGCGTCGTGGTGGAGAATGGCTGGCGAAGCCCAACAGTACGTTTCTTTCCAGTCGTCAGACACAAGTTTGAAAGCTCACAGATTCTTCCTTAGACACGCACCGCTTGCCTGCGAGCTACATATATATATTACAGCTACCAATATCGTTATTCAGCCTTGCATCGTATGGTCTTCGTATAGACCCATTGCATCAACAGATTTGCTTTCACCAGATCCAAAAACTGGCAAGCAGAATTTGTTAATGTTTCTTTACGATTTCGAGACCCTAATTTTCTCCACTTCTAGTCGTATTGAGCCCATCGGGAGTCACAGCACTAGCATCACTATCGGATTCCAAAGAAGGGAAGCCCGATGAGTGGTCTTCTGTACTTAATGTAGTGGTGGGCCGTCAGGAGAGTGAGCTACCATCATATTTATTAGCGCGAATACCTGATTCCAACATCACATGCATGTATCCGACCAACTTAATATTCGTACCTGTAAAAAGTGAAGGTCAAAATCAGCCTTCGGAGAAAGATGTGGCAAGGTCGCAATGGAAGGATGCCAGCGTGCGTGCTACTAAACTGTTTCCAGCCATGTCAAGATCAGATTCGGGACAAAACATGGACTATTGGGATTATGTTTCCTTGTCTAGAAACGTAACAGATCTAGTATTGGAGAAGGCTGGAACTATAGATCCTCTGCTTATACCACCACCTAGCCATGATGTGATCGTAAAACCCATGGCCAAATCCGAGTCACTTCCGAAAGGGAACACTTCAACAGCAGCCCAAGTCCCAAACGGAAATGCCGTGGGTTCTGTGATAACTGGTGCTTCTTCGCAACTAGTGCCACCTCTAAAACAGTCACCTCCCATATCGCCCGCATCTAAGCCGGTAAACCAATACGATTTTAATGATAGCATGGCACTGCAGGGCCGCCGTGACGACTTTGGTGGTGATTCAGACTTGGATATGGGAGATGATGAAATAGGCGATGATGACTTTGATTTTTTTGATAAACCTGTAAAAGCAGCTGGTCATGTTAGCTCAAATCTGGTGACTTCTGCTGTAGCATCTGCAGTAAACGTACTCCCACAACCAGTATCGCCAATTTTCAGTTTGACTGGTCTTCCATCTCCTATTCCAATGGGAGCTCCCACTCCAAGGTTACCACTAGGATCTCTTGTACAGACACCTGGTCCAACTGGAATGACGCCCCGTGATCCAACTCAACCTCCCACTCCTATAACTCAGGCATGGCAGTTAGATACACCTAATGGGTTTATTCGGACTCCATTACCGGTTGCGACGCCCGGTGCTCTGCTAGATATGATGACGAGTCCTGTAGTTACAGACCTCTTTGCGGACTTCGATCGTAAACCATATAATGTAGATATTGCTAGTCCTCATCCACGAGAATCCGATGATGATTACGATGTACCACAAGCATGGTCTGCAATAGCCTTCACTAATCTAGAAGGCTTAATAGGTGATTGGTCTGGTAGTAGCGTAAACAAGTGGGGCAATAGTGAGCACAAATGGAATTATCTGCCAGCTACAAAGCCAACTAGTAAACGAAAACGAACCTCGCCTTCGCACACGATACGGTCAATCAAACAGACCAAAGTCGAAGTCAGGTCTGAGTCCCCAGAATCCGATGATGACAATGTAGCATTGTTGGAGGAAGATGTAAACTATAATGATGCTATTGTACAAACCGATGGCATACTGCTAGCTCTACATGGTGGTGGGGCTCTCGCGGGCAAAGACGAACATATCTTTTGGGCAAGATTATGTGCTGGATCGTCGAAACAAGCAGTTGCGGTAGACCAATCGCAAACAGCTGCAACTCCCACATCATTAATTGAAGATATGATGAACAACACGTTACCGCAATGGAAGGACGAAGATGCGTATGCTATAGCCATAGAATTAGTGTTGGAGCATACTTGTATGGGCAGTGAAGCATTGATGGCATCACAAGACACGTTGTCGCCATTCGTAAATGGACTGGATGGTGATTCTAGGACGATATCAAGTCCAGACACAGTTGCTGCTGCCTTGTTTCAATTGGTGCCGATGATTAGCAGTACATTGTCCAGAGATGGTGGTCCTGCCGCTGAGGAGAGACAACAACGACCTGTTTTGAAGGGTCCGTTGACCATTCAGCAGTATAGTGAACTGCAAGGTATCAGCCAGTCTATTGTGGCCAACCTTTGTTGCCTTACATACTCATTCTCCAACTATGTAGAATCTGAACGATCCGTTGCAAAATATGGACGATTCTCACTTCGTAAAAAGGCCAAGAAAGCCACAGAGCCCGTTATAGAAACATTACCTATACCCGATATCTTGGCACGACATGATAACAATATGTTATCATTATCACCGGTCGCAGTTAGATTTTGGGAACGGCTGCGGTTTTCACCAGTTGGAGGATCTAGAGATGTTCAATGGTTGGCATTGTGTCCTGCTGGCCAGGAAGTGTGTGATGAGACTCGGCGATGGATGACAGATTTTTGTACTGCTTATACGGTATGCCAAGCCTGTGTCCCTCGGGTTTTTTTGGCTTCTTCTTGAAGCAACCGATTCTTACACACTTCTCACCTCACCTAGGCCTGTCGTCTTGGAGCTTGTCAGCCGTTTGCCCTGTCAGATACGATTGCTAAACCAGTGATTGCAGCACATCTAGTTCGTAAGTATATTAAATCCTTGTCAAGAGTGACTTTTTCTTCTTTTGTTAGCATTCTGACGATTTCCTTGTGGCTAGCACCTCAACCACACGAATCACCTGATGCGCAACGGTTTCGCAGCTATGTGTCTGCTGTAGAGAGACTGTCTGGTTATTTAGCTCCAGTTGTGGATCGGCTAACTGATTGGCTGGTTGTGTTTATTGTCGATCCGTTTCCTCATATTCCCAATTCTTTATTATATTTATCATGGATGTTTGGAAGAGCGCTAGTTGGAATGGCCACTGAGACTCGTAATTTGGCCTTTCTTCGGTCGAAAATTATATTGCAGGTAAAGAATTGCGAAGTGGGACACAAAACAAGGACCCAGATTGTACAAGGAAGTCCTTTCTCTGACACAGTCTCTCTTTTTAAGGTGCTACCAATTGAGGTCATATTGAATCCAGATGTGTTTCGAGGAGCACCATCTATTGGTTTACGTGAAGTAGCTTTCAGCGTCTATTCCAAATGTCGTCAACACTTTAAACGACCAGAGCTGCCTGGATTTGAATCTCATATTCCCAATGCATCGACAGCTATTGCCAACTTGACATATACATTGTCAACCAACAGAACGTCTCGACAGGCGTCATTTTCAGCTACAAAACGACTGGCACTGCCAGCTCGACATTCAGTGGATGCCGATCGAATCATGCATATTGCTATTGGATCTAGTTCTGGATGGATTTGTGCAACATGGTGTGAACAGTCTGGAGAGGTGGTTGAGGTAGCTGCTTTTAGAAAGTCAAATGGTGCCAAGCAATGTATTCAGGATGTGCTTGAGCGGACGTTGGTATTGACTGGTCGTGGAGGTGTTTGGTGGCGTCTTGTGTTTGGATTTGATGCGTCGGTGGATGTACGGGACCTTGAATGTGAGTCCCGAATGCATTGCATTATACAGTACTTGCAACCTGCGGCGTTTTTCTCAACTTTTTACTTCCAATTTTAGATTGGCTGGATTCATTTTCATGGTTTACATTGACAACAAGGCCTCAAGCTGCTACACTAGATAGTCCACCACTACAGCAGAGTCAGCTGGTGCCTACATTTAACCAGGGAGGTCCCTTAACGCCACATGGCATGCATATGGGTTCTCCACTAGTGCGAAGCCCAGCATCAACACCCACACCACCTTTAGTACCCTCATCTAACTCTACACCACGAATCCTCGATGGTCTACCCTCCCATTTTATAGCGTCAATAAGTCTAATATCCTTTAATTCTTCAAAAGTCGCATCGCAATTTGTTCCCAACGAGGGAAACAGTAATACAGCCACGTCATCTACAAGTAGTGGTGTAGTAGGTCGTATGGGCTTTGATGTCGCTGATGATGTAGTAGGGTCCTTTAACGGTCGCAATTTCCCTTTTCCGTTACCTGGTCAAGCAGATGCAGGTGCCGACGAAGTATTCAAAGAGGGGCTTCAGAACACGTCTTCTGTAGTTGTATCTAATCAGCGCATTCCACTTTGGACTCGAGAAGCTGTACTGCCTCTAGCTACAGGCTGGCTTGTAAATTCACGCATAGTAGATAATTGGACTGGAGTGCATGCTACAACTACTGGAGCTGATGTGACTATTACCGCACCACAACATCGAGCATATACAACCAGTGTGTCGCAGGAGATCTCATTGTTGTGGCATCATCATAATCCACACGCTGAACTATTGACGTCGAATTATGCGAGTTGGATGTCCCCGCCGTTGAATAATGGTAGTAATAGCAATTTATCTGGTGGTAGTAACAGTGGTGGTAATAGCGCAGTGAGTCCTCATCATGCTGCTATTGTGAGGGATGTGCTGAAGCAGTATCATGCCTTGAGGTTTCTGAGACAGGCTAGTACTTATTGGATGAATGATGATATGGGACAGCAGCCGTGGATGTATCAGGCTATTAGTAGAGCTGTTAGTATGTTGTCTTGTACAAACTGAGAGGGGTTACGACGGTTGGTTTAATGGACTAGTAATAAATGCGTGGTTTAACGAATGGGGTTGTTTGACGGACGTGATACAAGAGCACGCGGACCACGTATTTTTGATGTTGAATGAGACGTGAACAGTGTCAAACATGAGCGATCGGTTGGCATTTGGCATAAAATTCGCGCTTTTGTATTTTTCGATGAAATCACGAGATCCATGCAAAAGCGAAGTAGCTGTCACTCTAATTAGAAGATGGATACAGCCTGTACTGAGCGAGAAGGGGCGTTTTTACACTTCCGGGAACTGCCTCTTCTTGCACGGAAGTTGATGTTAAACATTTGCCTAAACATTCTTTTACAAAGCCACCAGCGTGCTGTTCTCCAAACCATTTCCAACCTTTCTTTTTGGCAATAAACCTAAGAGGAAGCATAAGGAATTGATTTAAAGTTGGTCATTCCTATACCTGCATACCTGCTGTTCCTCTCCGCTGTTGGATACTCTCGTTTGCCCCCCACAGCTCCAAGCTCCACCTTTTCTTTGGGGACAAGTAATCGATTGTAAAGATGGAAGTTGAATCTAAGGACGTTTCTGCTACTTCTACTCTAACTGGTTCTCAAGTAAACGATGCTGAGAAGGCCCGTGCTTCGCTAGAAGCTGAGCATGAGAATGAGCAGCTGGAATTTAAGTTTGTGGGGACCATGAAGTGGTATACCATCACATTAGCCTTTACTGGGTGAGTTCTTGTGCTGATCTATCGTTATTGATTCCGTTTGCTGTTGATCTTGTGGTTTTCGAAGTACTAACAGTGACCAACGCACAACTTTAGGCTGATCATCGGTCAGTTCTTAGCAGCATTAGATGCCACTATCATAACTACGGCACTCAACACCATCGCGGCCGACTTGAATGCCGTGAATGAAGTCTCTTGGGTTGCGACCGGTAATTGAGATCTTGTTGCGACAAGTTCTACAAACTGTGTTGCTGAAAAGCTTACCCAAACATTAGGCTACATTATGACATACAACAGCTTCCAGCCTTTGCTTGGAAAGTTCAGTCATATTTTCGGTCATAAAGCTATCATTGGAATGGGCATTGTTTGTTTTATAATCGGAAGTGCTATGGCTGGGTTTTCACCAAATATTATCACATTGATTCTGGCTCGAGCTATTCAGGGTGTTGGAGGAGCTGGTATCTTATCCATGGTCATCATCACTATCTCTGACATGTTCCCGCTGGAAACTCGGGCAAAGTATCTGGCAATACCTCAGTCAGTGTTTGGAATTGCTACAATTGTTGGACCTTTGATTGGAGGTAGGCCGATTTGGTTTTCAAAACGCTGTGTCTCATTGGTCTGACTCACATGAGTGGCAACTAGGTGCTTTCACTGACAAGCTGAGCTGGCGGTAAGTCATTGTATCTCCTCGAAATCAGATTATACGTAAGGAGCATTTTGATACGGAATATCTAAACCTTTACTTGCTCATAGCTGGAACTTTTGGATCAACATTCCTCTTGGCCTTGTCGCTTTGCCTCTTGTGTTGATATACCTGCCTCTGCCAATACCGAAATCCAAGTGGTCTACCAAACTAGCTCGAGTGGACTTCTTGGGAACCTTTGTATTGATAGCATTTGTTATCGCAATTCTGTTGCCGACCTCCTGGGGAGGCACTACATACCCATGGAGCTCACGTAAGTTTCAGAGGTCTTCATTTTTCTCATGTGCCAAATGACGTGGCAGGTGACTAACTTTCTCTTATTTGGATCGTTTCAGCCATAATTATCGCCCTTTATTGCGTTGCATTTGTGTTCGGAATCGTATTTATTATTGTGAGCTTGATAATACAAGTTGTCCACGATGAATGGGCCGCATGACCTAACACCACTTTTTTAAAATAGATTGAATGGAAATTCGCAGCAGAACCTATCGTACCTCTTCGTCTCTTTAAGAACTACAACACCTCGTTGATATTTGCGGTGGCATTCTTCCAAGGCAGTGCCTTCTATTGCTGGATTTTCTACTCTCCATACTATTATGCAGCCGTAAATGGAGATTCTGCTACCATCTCAGGCTTGCAGCTACTTCCGTTACTCTTGGGATTGACCATTTTTTCTGTTGTGTCTATATTTTCGTTACCGCTGGTAAGAAGTCACAATCTCAGTTTCACTCTAAACACACGAACAGATTGTACTCACATTAACTTTTACCTTTTAGGTCCGTTTTTACAACGTCTATGTAATTCTGGGCAACATCATGGTCGTCGCTGGAACTGCTCTCTTCTCAACGTTGGACGAAACCGCTTCTCGCGGTCAGCAAATTGGATATATGCTTATGGTTGGCGCTGGACTCGGATTCAGTTTGCAGGTGCAAACATTGCTGCTGCAGGCTTCGGTTGATCAAAGCGATGTCGCCATCGTGTCCGGTTTAACGCAATTCTTCCAATCGATCGGTGGTGGAATCGGTATGTAGTTCCCTTCAGAGTCCTCCTCTTTCTGCTGTCATTCATCCGTCTAACCGTAAATCTTGAATTTAGGTCTTGCCGTGTATGTGTTTTGGATGCCTTGTAATGTTTGAAATCCGTTCTTGTTTGACTAACGGATGACATTTCATTTCAGATTAAGTGCACTCTTCACCAACTCACTGACCTCTCAATTTTCGGCTCTCCCCGCAAATGTATTGGCTGGTCTTGCTACTTGGAATCAAAGGCCAGCATCTCTGCATTCGCTCCCAGCTGACATATCTGGTCCTACAATACATGCGTATACGCAAGCCCTACGTCAGGTGAACGCTCATATCATATCCATCTCTTTGATTTGTCAGTGCATGCATACTAAACGATCTCTCTAAATCAGATCTTCATCTACGGCACTCCATTTGCTGCAGCTGCGGCGTTCCTATCAATCCTGTTAATATGGAAACGTGTACCCAAGAGTGGCGTCCCAAAGACTGAGGCTGTTGCTATGGGTTAATCTTGTCCCCTCTCTTTTGTAATGTTACATAAAATACACTCTGTCGCCTAATACTTTCTACTCTTTTCTGTCTGAAGTTGATGGTCCTATTCAAGCTTCGAATCAATACGCGACAAATTGACTGAAATATAAATATTCGTGAGGTATATTATTGTCTACATCTAAAAAGACACATCTCGAAGCTTGGTTTTAACAAAATTTTACACAGTGATCATGAACCCCCTTACTCTATACAGGCGTAGCCCTTGGGTCAACGGGCATATCCTTCAACGTAAGTTCCTCATCATTCGGAACTACTGCGACTGCTGACTTGACTTCAGTGCGTAATGGTACATGTTTCAGACACATTGAAGCTAAGAAACATACTGCCATGGCACCAGTAGCAACCCACAATGCATATTCAAATCCTAGCACAAAAGCTTCAAGAACCCATTGTTTCGTCTGTGGATCCAGACCATTAATTACATTCGTGTTGAAGCTTCCATCGACGAATAATGTGCTTGCAAGGTTCTATGAAAATGACAGAAATCCAGTTAGTGAACATAGTCACTTGTAAAAGCAATATTGGTTGAGCTCACCCCTTGTCCATTTTCAGTCAAAATTCCAGTGAGTTTCGAATACCACACCGACTGCATAATGGCATTTAACACGGCTATTCCGACCGTTCCACCGATGGTACGAAGGAAACTTTGAGAGGCCGTTGCTACCGAGAGTTCGTTTTCCTTGGCTGCTGTTTGTGCAATGAGAGATTGTGGAGAGTTGACGGGGCCAGCACCAATTCCAAATATCTATGTTAAAAGGTAGTTTATATGTGAGCAAACGAAATATGCAAATTGGTTGAATCTTAAACTGTTACATACAACGAAAAAAGCTATCTGTACACCAATACTGGTCGTTAAATCCCATCGACTGATCAAGTACAGACCTATGATGGCAACTAGAGAGCCAGCCTATTACGGAAATATAGTCAAAACAAACTCAAGCGTTGAGAACATGGCTATCTGTACGCCACCTTGAAGAACTCGACGTAACGGCCAGTGACTGTTATTAGGACACCAACCGTTGTTGAGACAAAGAGGAAGGGTATAACCATTGCGAATGAACGTATTCCAGCATCAGTTGCGTTTAGACCACGAGCGATTTCAAAGTATTGGGGGAAGACGTATTGAGTACCTAGACGATACACCAAGTCAATACAAGGTCAAACATTTGTGGGAGAAACTTCTGGGCGGAATTAACTTACCATAAAATACAAAACCAAAAGCAAAGCCTGCCAGACAGTTCCAGGCATAGTTCTTATACCAGAAGAGATGGAGAGGTATGATTGGCTCGTGGGCGACTTTGGCTTCAATGTAGATGAAAACAGCCAGTAGCACAATACTAGCAGCAAAACAGCCAAGGACTACTCCTGATATCCATGCATATTCGTGGCCTCCCCACGACACGGCGAGCAAAAAACAGACACAGCAGAGGAATAACGTGATGGAACCTAGATAGTCTATCCTCTTAAGTTTATCCATTGTGGCGCCTTTAGGTGCTGGAAGTCTTAAGAAGTGGTATAAAATGGCGACCGGAATGATTCCTACAGGAAAAACTCAAATGCTAAGAACACTGGATAAGTCATAGGCAATCGATGAATGTCATCCTACCAATAACGAGATTGACGTAGAATGCCCATCTCCACGAGATATAAGTGGTAAAGAGACCTACACGTTGGGTTGAAACGTTGGATTTGTTACGTTTCTGACAAAGAAATCAAAAGATCGGGCTGTTCTAGAAAACTTACCTCCGATGACTGGTCCAAGGAGCAGAGACACTGCAACGCAGGCACTAAGTATCCCCTGATACTTGCCCCTTTCACGTTGGGATACTATCTCTGATATAGAGACGAGTGTAAGGTTCAACAGACCACCAGCACCAACCTATTATAAAACAAAAGTTAGTCAAGGCCTGTTGGAAGGATTACGGTAAGTTGTGGTAAGATCTGCTCACTCCTTGCACTGCCCGGAAGATAATCAGCATATCAATATTTACGGCCGCACCACAGAGCGCCGATCCCACCAAGAAGATGAGTATCGAGGCAAATAAGGTATTTTTACGACCAAAGAAATCAGAGAGCTTGGAGATGATGGGTACTGTGGCAGTACTCGTAAGAGAGAAACTAGTTCCAACCCACGAGAGTTTTGAAAGGTCCCCTAACTCTGATGCGATCACTGGCAAACATGTTGTTACAATCGTCTAAATGCAGGAACAAATCAGCTTGAGGCCTTTTTAACTGGTAAACGTGCTCGGAATCAAGAGACAACAAGCAAGCACGAACCACGAGATTTTCAAACTTACCGTGTCAAGGGCGGAAAGGAAGATGACAAACCCAAAACCAATAAGGATTGGAATCACGTTCTTTCTATTGTGGATTCGGTTCTCATCAGCGAGATCGAGCGCTACATGAGGATCCTCCTTCCATTTAAAGGTCAGAGTATCAGTTGGCGATACAGGTATTTTCTGAAGTCCTAAATCGATTTCCAGCACGTCCAGTGGTCCGACAGATTGTGGTTCTAATTCACTTGGTAGGCTTGGTTGAAAGCCCGCTGGAAGTATGCTCGAAATTGTGCTCCGTCGACGAGAAGACATTTGTTGCGATGACTGGCCGCACAATGTCAGGAAGTAGGTGGATTCTTTTCCTGTAAGCCTATAAGCTTGAAAACTTTTAAGATTTTAGTGAATGCAGATCTGAGTTTTATCTGCGGGTATGCTTTTCCCTGTTACATTTATCCATTACAAATGCGGCCGTACCTTACAATGTAAAGCATGATGTCAAGCATCGTGGATACTGACACGTAGATCTTACATCTAAGTCAATAAGTCCCGCTCCTATCTACCAGACTGCAGGTTTAATCAAGATTTGAATTTGCGCTTTGACTTCAACGTTTATTTCTTCTAAGTAAAAGACAAGAACGGAAGAGGTGCATAGCAACTTACTCTGGAACCGTACGACTAGCCGATATTTGTTGACACAAAATGTAGCATTTCCGTGACGCCTTGGTGTTGTTCGGGTTTGTTCATGCTGTCATGTCTGGATTTTTAGGAAACTTGAAATTGAGTCCATTCAAAAAGCCAATAACTTCTCTAGCGATCGCTCCAGGAACCATCATCATGAACTGTCAGACATGAGCTTATTAACATATTGGCTATCTAGTCCATCTCGAAGGTGTCCTTCAAATCGTGAGCGTGACTATGTAGAGCCATGAACTTTCATTGGATTCGCAACCACCCAACTTGCAAACAAACATTAATATATACACAACAAGTACAAGCGAAGACGCCATTGATCGGCTACGTAAAATAGGTTATAATAGAACCAGTGCCGGACGAATCTCTCATGGAGGACTCTTCTCTATTGTCACTGTTTCCACCGGATGCAGTTACGACAACTTCTGCTCCATTTTCTGCAATAGAGGCCACCACATCACCACCATCTAGCCCGACTACATACATTCAACCTATGTCTGAGCCCGCATCGCCAACGATGGATGCTCCAGTTCACCAACTGCCCAACCAACCACCAACCATTGAACTCGCCGAAAATGAGATGATCACCCATACAATACTCTCAAATCAACGAGTTCCTGGCTCTTCTGTTGGTGTTAGCACTAGTAATACTGTCTTGCCCGTGGTCTTGAAGCGGGTGCCTACACCAAGTGTCTCGTCAATACACAACCAAACATCCGATGTAGTTAGGTCTTCAATGACCTCGCTCTATAGTAACCCGACGACTGGAATGCCTGTAGATGTGCCTGATGGAACGCAAAAGAGGATTGTCGTGTGTTGCGATGGTACTTGGGGTAAAAACCAGATGATGTCCTTACGTATACCACCAGTTATGCTAAAACCGTTTGCATTTTAGATGGTCAAGAGTCCGAAGCTACAGAAGGCAGTACAAATATATCGCTTATTGCTCTTGCCGTGGAGAAGGGCATGGTTGCTGACAACAATGGCAACCAAGTCTTTCAGATGGTGAAATACCAAGTGTCGATCGGAGGCAAAGGAGATGGCGCCATGTGTGTTGGCGGGCCTGATGATGGCATGTACAAAGGTCAACTAGATCGTAATATCGAAGAAATCTACAAGGTATCGCGTGGGAGCATGGTTTCCGTTTTTTGTCCACCATAAACTAAATGCCGCTCTTTTACTAGTACATTTCAAGAGTTTATTCGCCAGGAGATCAATTATTCCTGTTCGGTTTCAGGCAAGTCCATATTTGTCGTTGTCACTTGAAACTCGTTTTGTTTTTACTAATCAAATATAATAGTCGTGGTGCGCTAGTCCTCACGGCCGTCACAAATATGATTGAGAAATTCGGCTTACTGATGCCGACAAAATTAGCAGAGTTGTATCCTAAATTATACGCCACCTTCCGAAAAACAACTTATCTAATCCCTGGTCGTCGACCAATGCTGTCACGGTCGAGTCGAGATACATTCGATGCTAAATCCACTCGCCAAAACTTTTGCCAGCCTAGTGTAGATGTTGCCTTTATAGGTCTCTTTGATCCAGTCGGTGGTGTAGAACCATCGCCAGTAACCGGAGATGTACCCAGCATTGTAGAGAGGGCTCGAGTTGCTTTGGCATTGACGGAACGAAGGAGAAAGTATACTCCTCTGATATGGCATCCCCAAGCAGCAAGTGCACCGGGCCGACTCTCACAAGTCTGGTTTTGGGGAAATCATAATGATGTTGGAGGAGGGGTAAGTTTTCTTCTTGTAAATCTTGGGTAAAGTGTAGCAAAAAAATATGCGTTCGATTTCTGATTGTTCCTTTCAAATAGTACAAAACACATGGTCTGTCGGATATGTCTCTGCACTGGATGATGCAAGAAATATCCGCAGGTTCTCTGGTATTCAGAGCTGGTTCTCTTCCAATGCCATTCCAACCCTTCCAAGACTGGCAATCCACCTTCCACTCTACAATTCGCCCAGCTTCCAAACAGCACCGTCAGCCACCATCACCAGCTATCGTGATACATGATTCGGCCGTGCTTCCAATAGGATTATCGCAAACACGACAAATAGGTGGATCGCCTTATATCGTAAATCGAACAAGGCAGTCGCTACACGCCAGTTTCAATGTCTTGTTACCTGTCCTACGAATGCAACGTAAAGCCGTAGTTGAACGAGTCGCTGCATACTTGATGAGTGGACAACCTAATTTATATATAGAAGATGAATATGGTCTTTGGGGTCCTGGCAGTGAGAATGCCAAGATTGCTATATCCACATCAGCAAACATGCCACGTAATGCAAACTCGCGGAATCAGTCCATGTCGCCTATAATACCGATAGTGCCTGTAGATGTTCGTAAATCGGAAGCTTACATGGATTCTCAGTCGATTATGGACGAAGAACGTGAACCGCTGCAAATTAATACCAAGATGAGTGGGAATCCACAGCAATTACAGCAGGAACAATATGATCGTCGTGATAGTGCTCGGGATGTAGATCACATAACAGAACTATATGCTACGGATCCTGCCGTGATAGTAGCACACTACCAGCAACAAAGGGAAATGGTCTCGTATGAGAGAAATACTAATAAAGTCGACCAGGCATATCAACGTAAGGACAAGGTGGTTGAACAGCAGCAGTATCAACGAAAGGACAGCATGGTCGATCGGCAACAGTATGAAAGACAGGACAAGGTAGTTGAACAGCGAACGGGCAGTATAGGCGACCATACGTATGAAAGACAGGACAAGATTGCCGAACAGCAGGACCAGAGAGACATACCAATGGCTGATAATAGTAAAAGGCATAGTAATAATAAGAGGGCTTCTTCTAGACTGCTCACAGAAGAAGAGCATCACGCAGAATTAGAACGTCTGAAACGTGACTTGAACGCCCAGGCTACGAAACGTCTATCAGTAGAGATTCAACGTCGTGACGACTTTGAGCAACTCGCCAAACAAAAGGAGGAAGAACGCATGAAGGCTTGGAAGGAGATTGAAGCTAAAGCCCTTCTCATAAAACAGCAGGAAGCTAATCACCGTAGTCGTCTTGAGAAGGCAGAAGCAGACGCAGCTGAAGCTAAATCCAAGGTTGCTGCTGAACTAGAACGATTTGAACGAATATCTTCCTTTTTGACTGCTAGGATTGCAGCACTAGAAGCTGCTATGGATGTTGAAAAGAACGCATCTGAAGCCAGAATAGAAGAGTTGAGAAAGGAAGCTGCTGCACGAGATATGACCAACTCGCAGGCACGTAGACAAGCGGAATCTGAAGCTGCTGTCGCACGAGAGAAGGCGTTGGCAGAACAACATCGCTCAAAATTGCAACAGCAACAGTACCAGTCTCAAATAAATGAGTTGCAAGGAACTCTCAACTCTGAGCGAGAAACACGTAGTAAAGCAGAGATGGCTCTAGAGGAAGCACAACGAGATGCTGATGTCAGGGAATCGTCTGCTAGACGTGCAGTGGAACGTGAAGCTCAACAGAAACATGAAGCTTTAGCAGCGGCGAGGGCAGCAGCACTGGAACGTGATGAATTAAGAGAACATGTAGCACGTAACAGTCTTGATATAAATCGACGAGACTCTGCTGAAATTCGATCTGTCACACCCCCACCATCTAGACCGGACTCACCAGTCAGTAATGTCAGCAATATAGAATATGGTGCTGTATCAGCTGCAGGAGGTCGTATCCGTGAACGCATGAATCGACAAACCATGTTGGAGGAGCAACGAGCTGTATCATCGAGTGCAGAGGTCAGGTTATGGGCGAAACAGCAAAAGAAGGCAAGGTTGAGTCCTGTGCCTTCTAGTAGTGGCAGTACGAGCCCCACGCCGAGGGACGAGCCTATTAATAGAGCATCCTTCCAGGCTCTGAGAGATGCTGAATCGGATGAAGAAAAGTAGACCTTCAAGGCTGGGATGGGCCTTGATTGTCAGGTGAATGGAATCCTCATAAAAACTGTAATCTCAACAAATAATCCAGACAATAATATGATAATTTTAATTACAAACTGGAACCGTTCTTGGCTTGCCTCAGCTGACTTCTCCAAGCGCTCACCAAGCGCGTCCTTTTTCCTCAAGTTTTTAGAGGTTGATGGCGCATCGCACCAAGAAGTAGGGAAGAACGGAAATGTCTGCCAGAGGAGAATCTCTAGACATTACATCCAACAACAGGAATGATCAGGCTCTTTCTCCCAATGTCGGCAGTTCAACGTCATCAAACGTCTCAGTGAATTGCAGAATCTGCGGAAAGCCGGCCCGCTTCATATGTGGAAGTTGCCACGATGTGTCCTATTGCAGCCAGGTGTGCCAGCAGCAGGACTGGAGCTCTCATAAGTTAACGTGCTTGGGACAACAGAATCATCAACATCAAATCCGAGAACCAAGTATAAATGAATCTGCATGGCCACGGGAAGCTGCTGCAGAGCGTGTTAATGAACATGGTATTTAAACTATACTCGTTTTCGTAGTTTGCTTTTTCTAACTTGTGTCTTGGACTAGGATTCATGTCTCGAATAAATACGAATTGGAGGAGACCTGCAAACCAACAAGCTCAACCTACTCAATCAGCACCTGCTGAGCAAGAGCCGCCACCAACTGAAGAAGAAATGGCTGATGACTTGCGGTTTTATACCAAGCAGATCTACTTGATTATCAAGCCAGGTAAGATCTTGGTTGAGACCGTGTCCACGCCCCCCATTCCGACGAAAACTTGTCTATTTAGTCGTCGCATGTATCGTACTCTCTGTTCTATGGGTGAAACTGACGAATCCGGCCCTTGGTTATTGGGATAGCGGGTGTGTTATGTTGCGATGTCATGTTTCGCATATTCCTCGCTGACCGGATGATCATTCAGTTTATCGACCAGTCCAACTTACTTTGGCGATATTGGACAATCGCTGGGTGGCAGCGGTGGAACCAGTGGATCTATACTTGTTACTTCGTTATGGGCTGCTCTCCTCATTATCGCACAAGTTGTCGTCGCCACCATCGTTATTGTCATTTGTTTTCGATTCGGTTGGATTAAGGTAACGCTGACCAAATGAAAACTACACAATCCACCGATACTGACATGTCTCTAAGCTTTTGACTGGGTTCTTGATGATCTTGGTATTGGGCTTACTAGGTCTCTTCACGTGGACCTTGTCTACGGCGTTGCTGGCAACGTTTAATGCGCCATTGGACTATATATCCATGGTTTTCGGTATATGGAATTTCGCTGTCGTGGGGTTGATGGTCATCTTTTGGAGGGGTCCTATGTGGCTTCAACAAATATATCTAGTGTTTATGAGTAGTTTGATGGTAAGTTCCTTCAGATGTGCCTCTCGTATTGTAGTCATGTCTCCGATATAAACATTTCGAATTTCATAGGCATTCACTTTGACGAGTATCACTGCTTGGACTACATGGATCCTGTTAGTGTTGCTTGCCGTTTGGGGTATGATTAGCGTACAGTATCACGCTTTTGGGTGACTTTTAATTTACTTCTTCTACCTTCGAATCTAGATCTCTTTGCGGTTTTGTCACCGTGTGGACCGCTACGGCTGCTAATACAGAGCTCTCAGCAAAGAAATGAGCCGATTCCAGCCTTGCTATATTCTGTCGCCATCTGGATGATGGCCACTCCGCCTGATCGGCCTGCAGATTCACCGTCTCCAACAGAACCGCGGTTTAGAGTTGACGAAAACTCCTTCCAAATGACACCGTCGTCACCAGAAACAAGTCCATCAGGACGGAGTAATACTGGACTTCCTCAACCACCACCTGCTGCTTATAGAACACCAGCGCCATCTAGACCACCACCTATATTAGATACTGTAGTTAACTCGTCGTCGAGAAGTTTGCCAGGTTCGGCGACAGAAGATCCTAGCATAGATGGAACGCAGACAAACTTATTAGATGCTCCTGGAAGTCCAGCTGCTCAACGCCCGGAAAGCGACGAAGACGAGGAAGAAGAACGTAGTGGGCTCAAACTCGGCCTGGGCGACTTTGTTTTTTATTCTGTCTTAGTTGCACGAGCTGGTAATTGTCGAGCTGATCGTCTATTCGCATGTCTACTACATTTACTCAATTATGTTCTGTAACCTTGTAGCCCTCTTGGATTGGATCTCTACATTGGCTTGCATGGTTGCCGTCTTGACTGGGCTCAACGCCACCATCTTCCTCCTAGCTATTTATCGTAAAGCATTACCAGCACTTCCCATATCCATAGCATTTGGTATTCTCTTCTTCTTCGTCAGCTCGATTATGTTGGTGCCATATTCGAGTTACTTGATCTCTGCACCAACACGATATGTGCCAAATACAGCTGGAGGAGCCAGTGGACTATGGCTTGGAAAGAGTGACGGTAGTGGGTTTGGAGCGGGGTTTATTTATGTCTAGTGGTCGCATCTTTAGCTTAATATACTTTAGTTTACGTTCTTTGACGCGTCTTCACGCATCGTATTGGGACATGGCGTAGTTACTGGTTACATATATGGTTTAGAGAATTTCCAATGGTCGATAATCGTCAAGGTGTTCGAGACTTGACTGCAACAATCCGCCACAAAATGCACGACATTCAGCCGATTTCTGGAGAGAATTTGTCAAAGAAGGAGTTCTATGACCAGATTTTGTTACAGATGCGGTCATTGATGGATCCGGAGCTACCTCTGGTGTCTAATCTTGCAAACTTGTATGTTTAGATATTTTGTACGTGACGAATTAGACAGCTAACACATATGAATTACTAGCTCATCGCTACTATATTGGAGCCTAAACGAGGATCAGAATAGGCAGATAAATTGGTGCGGTTTCTATCTGACGGGAAGCGGTCAACATTCCAAATCAAAGCTGTACCTTGGCCCGTTTCAAGGGAAAATAGCATGCACTGTTATAGACATAGGGAAAGGAGTCTGTGGAACTGCAGCTAAAAATCTTGAGGCCCTTGTTGTCGATGGTAATTCGACCGGATTCTTTTGGGTCAAACTTCCTTGACATTATCTCACAGATCATTTTGACGCAGATGTACACAAGTTTCCAGGGGTAATACTTGATTTGACTCGCTCCGGCGATTTTTATATTGCTGATCTTATCATTTTTCTTAGCATATCGCATGTGATTCACTCTCAGAGAGTGAAATTGTCATTCCTCTGATTGTAAACCGGGATGGGAAGAATTGTGTGGGAGTCCTAGACTTGGACTGCTTGATAAATTCTGGATTCAATGGCGACGACAAGAAGGGTCTGCAGCAGCTGGTAGAGATCTGTGTAATTCCGATCTTGGAAAACCAACCATCCTTAATTTGATCCCCAATATATCCTGAATCATTTCGCCTTTTACGGTTTTCAACTCTGCTTCGTGTACAGTCTGTTGAATTCGTAGTGTTTTGTCTTAATTTAACTATGGGTAAGTCGCTGTGTCTGGTTGTCGTTGATTTAATCTGATATAATCAATGAATAGCTGACTTTTTTCGATTCCTCGATGACTTAGATGGAAGTGATGATAGCATCCCAGCCTCAGCTAGCGAGAGGACAAATTCATCAACACCCTCACTACCCCGCGCGGAGGCCACCTCGACACGAGAATACTCGAATTTCAACAGCAACGACCCCAGCCGAGATGGAAGCAGAGAAGACGGTCTAGGCATGCATAGTCCGTCGGCACCAGCACGACCACGAAAGGCTTCAGAGTCACGAGCTAGACCTGCTTTAGCACTATTATTTGAAGCTGCTCGAAAAAGAAATAGCTATGTAGCGTCTGTGAATTCCAGGGCCTCTGCCGATGGTATGGAGTTGGAGTTGTCGAATGATGATTTGGGGCCATTACCAAGTAGTCTGTATAGTCGTTCAAGCAGTGTTGATGGTGCACCACGTAATTATACACCAACTGCCTCACTACCAACGAATGCTTTTGATAAGTCGCTCGACCCAAACGCAACAGATCGTACTGCCCATCCTACAACATCAAGTCGATCTCTGATTCGTAATGATGTACACGCTTCGACTCACAGTCTGGAAGACGCTGCTCCTACAAATTCACGACCAGCCTCAGACTTTCAACATTCAGGGTCTGCGGATGCAGTCTCGCCACCAGCTCGACGATTGTCTTTAACGAATACCGTACCGTCTGCTCTTGGTTCGTCTCAGAATAACGTTAGGCTCAGGCCTGAACTAGGACCAAACGAGCCGGAACCGCACCTGTCAGCTGGACCAACGAGGGCATCAAGCAAACTGACAGACTCTCCGAATTCTAGCCCTCCCAACACACTACCCAAAGCACCGCCCAATCGTGCGTCCAGTATACTCAAAACAGCAGCTGCTGAAGATATACCAGGACCCACAACCATCACACCAGCTCCATCAGGGCCAACACCCACAACCACAGTAGCACCTACTCCATCAGCAACAGTAACACCACCACGTAAATCTTCCGATACACCTCAAAAACCAGATTTTATGTCCTCCGAGTCACTAACCATCAAACCGAAAAGTCGGGTGCAGCACTTCATTGCCTGGGCTTTAGCAAGGCTGTTTATAATAACCCCCGAATCCCGTTTCTGGACGCATTGGTGCTCCATGATCAATGTGCTCCACGTTATCAACGTACTAGTGGTGCCACTCATATTTGGATGGACTGAATACTTTATAAATCCCGGTTGGGTGGCTCTATATGCCATAGTCGACGTCATCATGTTGGTCGATTGCTTCTTCCAAGCTCGATTGGCATTCAACAACAAGTATGGAAGTCTAATACAGGACAACCAGGGCATGTTTTATAATTTTGCTGTGACGAATCGGGGCTGGTGGATTACCTTGACGTCACTGCCTGTGGATTTGTGTATTGAATTGTCGAGCCCTGTGTTTACTGGTACTCCAACATTAATTATTCCATTCCTTGACGTTTTGGCCATGGGAGGCAACAAAAATGATGGGATGCAATTATATTGGAGGTATAAAGTCTGGGCTGCTGTGCGATTCTTCAAGGTACTGGCTCGTTTACCGTATCGTCGTTTGTATGACGCTGAAATCAGTGGTGTTGCAGCTGTAAGTTTTCAATGGATGAGACCGTTGTGCTTTTCATTCACAATCGAGGCTTTAACTTTTTCTATCTCTATGAAAGCCTGTTTCTCGATTGATCAAAACACTTGTAATTCTCATGTGGATGGGTCACTTAGATGCATGCATATTCTGGTTTCTCGACACCTTCCTCCCTTATGGCAACCGATGGATTGATACCCAAAACCTTTTATTTTATGCCGGCACTACCAATGTCGTGCCCTTCTCTACACAGTATCTGATATCGTATCTTTCAGCTGTCCGATCTTTGGTCTTGCGTCTTCGTGAAGTTGAGCTTGATGCAGAAAACATTTACGTATTGGGTGAATTCATTGGTGGTATTCTGGCTTATGGAACTGTGTTTGGTAATCTGCATTCTATCGTGGAAATGCTTGATAGTACGGCTGCTCTCACTCACGCAGGTTTGTACTTTAACGAATTTGCCTTCTTTTTTTGTTGTATTTTGTCCGCTGATAACTGATGTTCATTTTGTTTTTTCTGAATTATAGAGGAACAACACAAATTCGAAATGGGCTGGCTACGTACGTATATGAGAGAAAAGGGCCTCGTTCCCGAGTTACAAAAGGTATTACGTTGCTTCTGAAGTAAAACTAGGTTCAGGTAGCTACTTACGCCCTGACTCAAATGGTAGATGGTCAGCGCTCACAAAGAGTTACAATGGAGAAAGTCACAGGGTACAGATGAGGCACACCTATTTGACGATATACCGAAATCTGTACAACAAGAAATCAAGAACTTCTTGTATCTGGATTTGGTGCGAAAGGTACCCCTGTTTCTGGGGGCAGATGCGGCCTTCCACAATTCAATCACTTTCAAAATTAAGGTGTGACACTTTGGCTTCGGATCTGAATCATACGTATGCGGGACTGATACTTCTTTTCGGGCAGCCATTACATGTCTTGGACAAATGGTTTGTTTTCCAAAAGGGTGATGATGGTACAGAAATGTTCTTTGTCAAGACTGGCTCTGTAGAAATTGTAGGTCCTGAAGGCCAGATTTTCGTCACTCTTGGTCCAGGAAGTTTCTTTGGAGAGATCGCTCTCTTTGAAGGTATCAGGAGACACTTTGACATCGCCAGATGACCTTCTACTGTCACTTACAACAATATTGCGAACATATTAGAATGTAAACGCACTGCTTCAGCTCGAGCCAAAGGGTCGATCGAGCTCTGTGTGCTCACGAAGGACGACTTTAACAGTATTCTACGACAGTACAGTGTAGTTGCCGAAAGAATACGAGCCACCATCGCCGAACGTAAAGCCAATGAAGCTCGATTGAAGGCAGTAGAAGCTGAAAAGCAAGCTGCCGAAGCGAAACGAAAATTGGAAGAAGCTGAAGCGGAATCTATTCGAAAAGCCCAACAAGAAGGAGAAAAGAAGCCCAATGCTTCTTCAACCGGACTCAGAAGTCGTGGCCTATTGCAAGGATTGACGAAGAAGAATCAACTTGGTTCACAAGTGTCAATCTCTACCAACGGTGTGTCGAAGAATATTCTTCCCTTTGGGATATCACGAAGCGCCTTGCCAGGTGATTCAAACAGTGTAAATGGATCTTTTAATTACCTTCGACCCACAATCAACCGTGCAGTACAGCCGTCGAGCATGGGCCGTGAGTCAGCAGGCACTTCCAGAAGGAATAGCCACTCAGTGGTTGGTAGTGTCGCGAGTTTGCCTCGCGCAGAGGGAAGAAATGTTTCAATAATAAGCGGCCATGGTATTCCTTTCCAAACTTCCAACGCTGAACCGATTCCAGTGCCAGCTAGCACGTCAAGCTCAACACCATCCGGTTCCGTGCATCACTTGCCAGCCTCGGTTTCCAGGACACTAAACAATGCCATACATGGTTTGGCAGACATGATTTCACATCCTCATGTTGCTGCACACAGGGCCTCCGCTGAAGCTGGTACTTCTTCTTCAGCTCATGGCAGTATGAATGGATTGCCATTGACAGCACCCTTACGGTCCCATTCTGCCTCGGATGTAGTACCTCTACCTGCCCATTTGATGAATTCGCAATTACCAAGAGACAGTATTGGGTCAGCACGGTCTCACACTCTGACCATTAGTCGGTTGAGGGAGACGGCAGGACCTATTTCGCCGTTAAAAAGTGGATCCAGCAGGTCGATTACAGGTACCGGCTCTCCAACTCCATCTGTGGCTGCTGGGAAACGAACAAATTCATCATTGTTGAGCCGCAATCCATCCTTGATGAGCAGAAATCCGTCTGGATTGAGCAATGTGTCTGTCAACAACAAATCACCAACGCCACCAACCGATAGTGCTAATGCATTGCCGATAGCAGGCATAACGGGAACGTTTACTGCTGGTATTCTGGCTGCCACCTCTCGACGTTCGTCACTTATCCCACCCAGTAATATCCCACCAGATATAAACAATTTGAGTATTGGGGGACTGCCGATAATCAATTTACGAGCACCATCAACAGCAGAAGCAGAATCCGAGTCGCCATCCCCTGAAAGACAGAATGACAACTTAACACCACTTGGCAGCAGTAATTCCGTGTCGTCGCATGCTAGGTGTGTCAGTGCTTTGAGTAATGGGTCAAGTCGTAGTTCAGTGTCTGTTAGAAGTACACTAGATCCAAAAGGTATTGACAGGCCGCGTAGTAGAAGTTTCACCGGTTGAGCATATTACGTTGTAAATATAAAACTGTAAAATCAACTAAGTTTCCATCGTCTCGCAATATCAAAAGTTTCAATTGAGCGTTCATAGACCGTTCGTTGGTGAAAACTTGTCTTGCGTCCAGAACAAAATACAAAATCAGGCTTAATCGAAAATGTGGAAGGCTGCGTTAGAGAAGGCGATACAAGAGAACAAGACCGTGCCGGGCTCAAGTGAGGCTTGAATTCAATTCTTTTCAATCCTCGATCTGACATTCTTTGTAAAGCATGGGTACATCTAGCAACAGTCAAACCAAATGGTCGCCCTGCGAGTCGAATGGTTGTCTTTCGTGGATTCTATCAACTTACAACGGCAGAAACACAGAGAACAGATGCTTCGGATATAGAAAAATTGTCGTCCTTGTTGGTTTTTACAACCGATTCAAGGTGAACATCAAACGTGTTTTCCGATGATCCAGAACTGAACCTAATTTTACCTATAAACAGGAGTGCCAAAGTCGTTGAAATCAGCAAAATGAATGAAGTCGAAATTTCATGGTACTCTATAGCTCATGCCAATATGTGCTTAAAGAGGGAATGCTGACCGGTATCCAAGATTCGACTGACTCACTTTATATATAACAGGTACTTTTCCGAAACTCGAGAACAATTCAGAATATCAGGACGCATACATTTAATCACATCTCCATTGTCTTCAATCCCTTCAAATCCACCATCATGGTCGACTACAACTAAACAAGATTGGGAAGCATCACGACTATCTATATGGAATTCCCTCAGTCCAGGAATGAGATCATCATTTTCATGGGGTAAACCATCTGAAAAGTATGATGAGAAAGCAGGTGCATCGTGGATTACGTCGCTACCAGCAACTGCAACCACACCAACGGCGGTAGAACAGGGAGCGTGTAAGAACTTTTCTCTGATGCTGCTACAAGTTGATGCTGCTGATCATGTGAATCTGTTTACGAGTCCTACGACGAGGACTCAGTATCAGGTGGATGATGGTGGTGTTTGGAAGGCTACACGTGTCAATCCGTAGTTTATAAGCTTCCAGTGCGTGAATAGAAATGTAGTTATACTTTGCTAGTAGTAAATTGTCTGATGACGCGAAATGACTTGGACTGTAAAGTCTTTATTACTTCTGTTCTTAATTTCGTTGTTTTGCGCTGTAGCGGTGAAACCAGGTCGAATTTGCAGGCCATGAGCTTATAGATTCCTGGTACGTCCCCTATCAATGTCGCATAATCTCTTTACTCGATAGCAAAATCTTCTCTCCTCGTAGACCTGGCTGTCGAGCAATGCTACGATACATTGCACGAAGCACCCCACGACGACGACCTTTTTTCTGGCTGCTTATTATTGGGATATCTGTAATGCTATTCATTACGGCCAGACATACTCCGTTTGATAGAACCAAATCAAGCAAGATAGGTAAAACCATCGACATCATCAGTGATGGCCTTTGGCTTCGCTCGTTCTTACTCCTATTCGAATAGATCTCGAAGAATTCATAGGCAAGTCATATTCTACACGAGAGTGTCAACACAAGATCTCTGACTCGGGTCTATAGATGCTATACCTTTTCAATGTCCAGATGGGAGTTTGGGAATGTTGAATGATGACTATTGTGATTGTGAGGATTCGAGTGATGAGCCTCTCACAAGCGCGTGTCAGAATGGAAGCTTCCATTGTCATGATGGTAAAACAATACCCTCCTCGTGGGTTTCTGATGGAATCCATGACTGCCGATACGGGGAAGATGAACTCAGTAACGTAAAACGCAAAAGGAAGTTCTTCTTCCTCTAATCTTGCATGTCGAACCTATATCGAAAACCTCATCGTATTTAATCTACAAGCTCAGTTTTTATTTTATATAAAGTGGAGAGTGAAGTGTACATATAACAAAGACACCTCCATTTCTATGCGGACGGCCTCCATATTTCATCAGGAGTGATACCACGGACATATTCTGGTTCAGAACCAGGAGCATATATTTCAGTGTATAGATCCTTGACATCAGGTTCAGGAGATGCTTTGGCCGCAGCTACAGCGTCATCCACTTCAGCCCTCGCTTCCTTGTCAAACTTTTTCAATTCTTCCTCGTTTGCAGCACCTACTTCTAACAAACGAGTACGTAATCCAGTAATACAGTCACGAGTAGATCTCATATGCTGGATTTCTTCACGAGTACGATATGTTGTTCCTGGATCTGACATGGAGTGACCACCATATCGATAAGTCACCATTTCCATGACTAATGGACCGTTACCAGTGACACACCATTCACGAGCTTTACGGACTGCTTCACGGACAACCAATACATCCATCCCATTGACTCGTAATCCAGGGATATAATCACCACGGGTATAATACTTTGTAGAGGCAGCGGCACGATGAGCAGACGTTCCCATACCATATTGATTGTTTTCACATACGAATACGACAGGCAAGTCCCATAGTTTGGCCATATTATATGCTTCAAAGACTTGACCCTGGTTTGCAGCACCGTCACCATACAAGGCTAGAGTAGCTGTCTTTGTGTTTCGGTATTTGTGGGCAAATCCTAGACCTGCACCGATAGGGACTTGGGCACCTACAATACCGTTACCACCATAGAATTCATTGGCAAACAAATGCATTGAGCCTCCTTTTCCTTTTGACGAGCCGTCACGTCTACCCATGAGTTCAGCGATGATTGCTGTAGCTGATGAGCCTCGTAAATATGCGAATCCGTGGCATCTGTATGCAGTAATGATCGAGTCCTGTTGTCGAGGGTGAGTATTCAGTCGGTTTCAAAAGAAGATAAGCTGTCACGTTTTGTTGACAGCTGTCCTTTCACGTACATTTTTGGTGATGGAAGACTCCATACCGACAGCGATAGCCTCTTGACCAGTAGACAAGTGACAAAAGCCTACGTGAGGGTGAAAGTGGGGTGTGAGAATTAACATTGTCAACATAGTTGAGCTGTCAACCCCAAAACAACCCCTTCAACGTCTAAAAACCAGTACCTCGAATCATTTTGGACTTGTATAATTGATCACAAGCAGTTTCTAATCGTCTGATTGAGAGCATTTGTTTGTATAGAGCCAATAGTTCCGACTTTGATGCAGTAGTTGTCAATGAAGGAGTCTCAAAGTTGTGTGTCTGATATGAGTCTTCAGGGAGATTGAATGTAAATACAGGGTCAGCCGGGTCAGATGCAGTGGCCATTGTTCTATTCATAGCAGCGATTCGAGTCAAGACCGTCGGCGAACCAACATTCTTGAATATCGCGTGTCGAAGAGCCATTGCTATCTATAGTATAATTTATGGAGGAGGAGTGAGCGGTCATAGATAGTAACAGCATTGATTATGTTATTCTGTTTGCCTACCTTCTACTATGGGCTATACCTTAAAAGCTTAACTTTTACGAAATTAGTCGCAAACCAACTGACTTTTTGACAAGACTGATGTCTATCGATGCTCGTGATTGCAACATTCTAATATGTGCCAATACGCGTAAAATTGTCATTTCTTTCTTTTTCTTTTTGATATTTCCTTGTATCTACTTGGGCCAACTAAACACTTCACACTCCTCCGTTTCGAAACATTCTGTTGTGGGTTGACGAGGACCGTAAATTATGATAGGATCTATAATGACTGACGAAAGCCCTCTGGAGTTAGGGCTTGTTTGCTGTGAAAGTGGTTGGGAACGGCTTGAACATTTGTTGAAAGCGATACACAATTCAGCATAACATCAATGTAAGTCGAGAACCCTGAATTAATTGTATAGTTTGTCCTCTATGTTTGTTATAGTTTCCATTTGATATTAGAACACTAACATTCAACGTCTCCTTAGAACAAACACACTTACGAAACGCACGTTAAGGTTCCGTCAGCTGGACGGGTACACGCAGTTTAAAGGTAACGGACACAAAAATGAAGGGTTTTATTTGGTTGGTGATACTTGGATCTAACCCAACAATCCTCCTGTCACCGTTCAGTTATGTGAATGGTTGGCCAACGTACAAGATCATGCCCCACCTGCAAGTCACTATAGAATGCCCACCTATAAAGTACCTGCCCTCTAAAGTCACTATCACTGGTGCACAGGAGCCTAATAGATGTGGTGCAACCGTCAATCATCAAGAAAGTTTTGATGTCACATCAGCGATTTATGGTCTCAAATCACAGACTGCCATGTCAGACTACATGTTGGCTCTAGGGGTGTCTCGTTTTCCCGATCTAGCTCTGTTAAAGTAACACCTGGAAATGCTGTTTGTTGCACACGAGTCAAGAACAATGTAACTCTTGTCCCAAACACCTGGGAGCTATTTGCAGAAAGCGATAAGATGGATCTACATAACAAGGTCGCAAAACTGGAGAAGCTCTTGGTGACGTTCGATTCCACCAGAAGTAACATCCTCTTGAATACTGCAGAGCTGCGCTGCTGCTGTAGAGGAGTTTGGTAAGAGCTCAATTGAATATGTGAGTCAGGTAGAATTTAGCTGCATATGATGAAGAAGCTTGATAAGGGGGGGGGGGGGGGGGGTTGTATAGTTGTATAGAACACTCAGAAACACTGCTGATACAAAATTGTACACGCTCCTTTTCCACGGTGTTGTTGTTTGCAATCGACTGTTGGTTGATCTGACGCGAGCGAAGAAACGTGCTTTCGGCTGGCTGCTTGTGCGAGATTAGGCGAAGATTTCACATGCCTAAATCCCCGTCACAAACAAGGCACAACACGAATAACGTGGAGATTTCGTGAATCCGACGAAGCGAAGCTTTTTCACAATTTTCAGAAGTAATTTTACACGATATCTGAATTTTAGTTTGTCCAATACCGACTATGTGAATATCCACTCCGTCAATAATGATGCTTGGAGTTGCGTAGCAAGTACACCGACTATTAACCCTATCAGTACACGAGAATATGATTAAGCGCACCTATCTTACCTATCTTCCCTCTTCACAATCACCCAAAAGCCCTTTTACCCAACCAGAGCGCGCTACTCCAAGCCCTCACACAAGCCACACGCATCTAT